GGTGATTCACCTGGAAATCTGATTCCTCCCTCTTGTTCAGTTACCTGAAAAGTTAATTCTTCGAGTCAGGGTGAGTTGGTCAGTTGAGGTGGCAGAGTACTGTCTGGGCCCCTCCCAATGGGTCAGGACTAATCCCTGGGCTCCCTTGTGATAAGGAGTCAGGATGGTCTTCTCCCGGGGGAGGAGAAAAGACCTGCCCAAGGGTGGAGCTCAGACAAGCAAATGCCTAGTTAAGGTCCCTATACTCCCAAGTTTGGAGGATGTTCTACACATGTTCTTTGGCACTTTAACCGCCCCCCCCCCCATTTCTTCACCCTTCTTGGTTAAATTCTGACTGGCCAGTTGTTGGCTGGAGAGAATTGTCATGGAGCAAGTATGGAGGTTTTGGGTGTGGGGGACGTGGGTAGGCAAGGTGGGGAAGCTCAGAGAGACACGAGACCAGCGGGTATGAGATGGAGGGGCAGAAAGACCTGAGCCCCACCCCAGCACACCCCAGCAAGGCCACATGTTTGCAATATTCTAAACTGAGAACTTACCCTGGTCTCTGACTTCACATCTGTGTGTCCCTGAAGGTGGCTGAGGGAGAGTCAAGGAGCATTATTCTGGGTATGCTACTGGCGGGGCAGAAGACCTACCTCAGTGGGATGCCTCCCTTTCTTCCAGCAGGATCCTCTTGGTCTTTCCTTTGCTGCAGATGGGCTTTCCAGGGCAGACAACTACCCTCCTCTGCCTGAGTCTGGTGCTGCTTCTCTGGAGCCAGGTGCCAGGGGTCCAGGGCCAAGAGTTCCAGTTCGGACCCTGCCGAGTGGAGGGAGTAGTTCTCCAGGAACTGTGGGAGGCCTTCCGGGCCATGAAGGACATTGTGGTGAGTGAAGTGGTGTTCTGGACCCAGCTGCAGGGCTTCCTGTGAGTGCAGGAGACTATTTTATGATTATGAAGCCCTTTGCAACTCGCTAATTATTTTCCTATATGATAACTTTATGAAATCAGAGGCATCACAAGTGCACATTCCCTCTTGCACATGAGGAAACAGAAGCTCAGAAAGATGTGGTCAATCTCTAGGAAAATAAATTAGCCTAACGGGAATAAAGAAGGGGGCCTGATTCATCTGGGTTTCAACTACGTGCAAAGGGTGGGGACATGGGACTCCACCAAGAAGTCATGGGAACTGCTTTGAGACCCACTGGAGTTTTCACCAACTGCTTTGCCAGGCTCCTGCTAGTCTGTTCCCACTTGCCAAGGCTTTAGCTAAGGGTAAACAGAATGCTAATGCCAAGGTGGGAGGGGGCAGCTGGTGAAATGTGACCGAGGATTTCTCCGGGGTCTGAATGTACTCCAGGTCCAGTACTCACACTGGCAAATGCACTCCTTAAACAATAATTCAGATTTGGGGCAGAAAGAGGGAGCTTAGTGAGGTGGCCTGGGGGAGGGGAGAGTGCTGGACTGGGGACAGGACATCTAGGTGTGATCTTGACCTTGCAACCAGGCACAAAACCCCTCCCCCATCAGTTTCCTTGTTTGCACATTGAGGAGGTGGGAAAATGAGCTCTAAAGCTCTTTTCTCACAAAGATGCTTTGAATACAATCTGAGAATTGGAGGATATGGCTGGTTGCAGGGGAAGCTCCAAGGGCAAGAGGCAACTCAGAGGTGCAACCCCCACCCCACACCAACCCCCACAGAATATGGAGGCAAAAGCCTGCCCCTAGTCGTTCTTAAACCAAATAGGCTTATTTCCTCCTGACCAAAGGAATCAAACGGGTCCCCCATCAAGGCTTGGAGAGCTCCTGGAATTCCATCTGCCCCTGGGGGTTAAGCTGAGTGATTTCTGTGGCTGGAAACTTGTACCCTCACTCGAGGGGCCACCTCAGCTCAGACCTTTCTGGGTCCTCCCTTGGTTCCTTTGGCCTCTGAGATCTCAGACTGGATAGATTTGGGGGCCAGCATGTATTTGTAAGGTTGACTTCTGTGCTGCCCATCAAGCTGGACACATCTTTTCTTTCTATTCCCAAAGCAAGCTAAGGATAACATCACCAGTGTCCGGCTGCTAAGGAAGGAGGTTCTGCAGAACGTCTCGGTAATCAGACATTGGGAAGGACTATGCCTCTCTGGTGGCTTGCCTTCTATGGGTGGTCTAGGGGAGGCTGATAGAGACCACTTCTGCACAGACTGAGCCTACGCAGGACAGGGCTGGGCAGTGAGCCAGAGAAGTCAACGTCTGGGTCCTCACCCTTGTGTCCAGGTTACGTGGGTATGTGTGTGTGGTGGCATGGAGGGTGGTGCGGATTGAGGCTCACAAGCATCTTTCTCCATTTAGCCAGAGTTGCCAGGATTCCACATCTGCTTAGGTCTCATTGGTTCGCATCCCTCTTTCTCACCCATTACTGTCGTCCCCTCACCCAGCTAGGCAGTCAGACAGCACATGTACTGAGCCCTGATCCCTGCAAGGCACTGAACTTCACTCTGGTGCTCAAGGGAGCTCGAGTGCAATCCCTGTGTTCCAGAGTGTAGTTTCCTTTTCTCATTTCTCTTTCCAGTTCTTTCCCTGGACTCTCAACTCTGGACCACCAAGTGTCGGGTGCTTTCCAGGGTCCATCACCTACCCCCGCCACACACACACACACACACACACACACACACACACACACACACACAGCTATTAGAGAGGCCATGTGGTGTAGAGGAAAGAACATTAAACAGATGGGGAACCAGGACTCCTGGGACCTAAGTCTGTGTCTGCCACTGACTGGCTCTGTGTCTATCCTCTCTGGGTCTGCGGTTCCTCCAGTCAACCAAAGGTGCCGCTCTGCGTGCCCCTGAAGCTCCTTCAGATCTAATGTTTATCAGCATCTCCTAGATCTCTTTCTCTATGTGCTTATCTTGCCTCGTGTGGCATGTGGGTTGTTCATGCCAGGTCAAGGTGGGCAGAGGGCTCAGCTCTGCGGTAACCCAGATCCTCCCCAGGACACCGAGAGCTGTTACCTCATCCGTGCCCTGCTGAAGTTCTACCTGAATACTGTTTTCAAAAACTCTCTGGATAAGGCAGCTGACTCCAGGATCCGGAAGTCATTCTCTACTCTGGCCAACAACTTTTTTGTCATCGCGTCAAAACTACAACCCAGTGTGAGTCGAACAACGCTGTGACCGGGGCCCACGGGAAATGATATGTTTTGAGAAGACATCTTCCCTCTCCTTCTCCAGTCCTGGCTTTTATTCATGACAGGGATTCGATGCTGTCATGGGAAAGAGCACAGGCTCTGGAATCTGGACCTTGTAGTTCTGGATTCAAGTTCAGGTCTGCTTCTAACCAGCTGGATAACCCTCTGCAAAGCAGTCAACCTCTCTGAGCTTCATTTTTCTTACCTATAAAATGTAGATAATCACCCCTACGTGGCCAGATTGCTGTGAACATGAAAGGAGTCAGCCCCCACAGCCAGTGGGAGTTCAGCAGTGGCTACCTTGAGAATGTGGGATTCAGAGCTGGCCTGGGGGAACCCCTCTGGCATCACTAGGAGGGAGTGGAGGGGGCTTGCCTCTGCTGCTACACAACACTTGGCACATTTTTTTTTCTATTATCCAGCAGGAAAAGGAGATGTTTTCCATCAGTGAGAGTGCGCGCCGGCGGTTTCTGCTGTTCCAGAGAGCATTTCAGCAGGTAATCAAGGCCAGGATTCGAGAGCTCGCCTACCCACCATTAGACTAGCCTGAACCATCACACGAGGGTGCCTCGGAGACCTCATGCAGAACGCACTGCAGGTGACCCCACCAGGCGTGCCCCAAAGCCACCTAACTTTGCACAAGCACAGGGATATTTGCATCAATTATCATCCACTTTGCACGAGCTCCACAAACTACGTGGTCCATCCTTGTGCCAATTTTCATATTAAAATGCTTTTCTATTTCCCTACAAGATGATTTCATTATTAAGGACTTACCCTGTGAAAGTTTTATGAATATTTGAGCTGAGCAATTGGAGTCTGAGGTACGTCCCCTACCCCAAACACAAGCTACCTATCCGCAGTATTTTCCATAATGCTCAAATGGTCTAGTTTGTGAGGAAAAAAGTATGGGAAAATATATTACCGTCCCCCAAATAAAGACAGCAAAGAAAATCCAAATTTAATCCGCAGACCCCCTACAAAAAATATATGATTTTGATCATTTTTTTGAGGAACAGATATATCATCCTAAAAATAAATGGTGAAGAGTAATCATATACAGAGGAAGGGGGCCAACTGGATCTCGGATTCTTCATCTGCATAGTAGACTCAGGAGGTGGCAAAATCCACCCTGCACTGGGGCTCTATAGTTCTTGTTATCAGGAACTCCAGATGCTTTTCCCTTCCTCCTTACCCACTGCTACTCACTGGTCCATCGGTCCTCACTGCCTCCCCCAACCCTGCGAAGGAACAAGTGATGGGTGGGTGCGCTCATCAAAGGCCATCCCAGAGCAGGGACAGCCAGCTCCAGGAGCCATGGGTGGGAAGGAAACCTATTTTTGTGGCTAATATGGTAGATCTTCAACTCTACTCTCTCTTTAGTTGGACATACAAGCAGCCCAAACCAAAGCCTTTGGAGAAGTGGACATTCTCTTGACCTGGATGGAGAAATTCTACCAGTTCTGAATGCAGAGACCAGGATACACTTCTTGTTCTCCATGTCATTTCAAATGTGCCGTATCCCTTCCTGTGATGTTCTCTGGGCACTTCACACCCTTGACGATGGATTTCATTCTTGGCCAGGCTTATCCTCAAAGACTTCATTCTTTAAGTGGCCCCAAAGACAGTCATGGAATGTTCTCTTGGATGCTGTGAATAATCTACAAAGTAGATTTCTGTATTTATTACAACTCTATTTAATTCCTGTCAGTGTTTTAACTGATGCCATACTTATTTGTCAGACTGTAAGTTCTGTGTAGGCAGCAGGGACAGTGCCCCATGCTTCTTTTTTATCCTCCACAATGCTTGACATCTGGTGTGGGGCAGTGGATGAGTGCTCAGTAAATGCTTAATAAACTGGATTTTTTGTCTGTCTTTGAATGACTGAGGAACAATGAAGGGTGTTGGGATATGAAGTTGCACTTCAGGGCATAGAAACCATATTGCCACGAGATCTGCAGGAGCACAGCATTGGGGTGGAGGCGACGGCATCAGTTTGGAATGTAAATGATAGAAGATACGATGAAGGTTAAGTGCCCAGCACAAAGCAGGCTCACTACACATTTCATTTCTCCCCATCCTATTCTTACCATCCCTTCTCCTTGGGGGCCCTCCTTTCTTATACTACTCATTCTTATCTGCCGCTGGAGAGGGTGCCATTGTCAAGCTGACACTGCTAACGGTGTCATCATACTACTGTCCAATCTTCAAAGACACTCCCTGCTAATAAGAAGCAGGGAAATCAATTCTGGCAGCCTCTTCTTCCTAAGTGTGGGAAAGTGCCCAGTAAGGCTGAGTTATGCATCCAGGAAAGGTCTTCTTCTGAATAGCAAGATTGGGTGTTCTTTAGTCTCAAGCTACGGCTGAACTTTGTAGTTGACTTCAGTCCCAAGATGTAACATCTGCCTATGCCCTTGCCCAGAAAATTTAAGAGAAGGTGTATGTAGGAGGGGGGATATCTCTCCTTTCATGACATAAGTGCTATTGCAGAACACCTGGCCCTCCAAGAAGCCACTTTCCTCCCCTACATTGCCAGAAGTTACCTGGCAGAGATGAGGGGGCATTTCTGAACGCAGACAGATGTAACGGTTTGGGATGGTCAAAACAGACCAACATTAAGTGCACAAATATCAGTGCTAAGCCATGGAAGGAAGATAAGGAGATGATACAAGCTATCCTATTTTTAAAAGAGGGGAGACACTGGGGTCAATGTACTTATGCACATCAAGCGAGGGAGACTGTATAGAGGATTTAGGAATATATACATATAATCACTAACACTAACAAGCATGGGTCTGAAAATTTACAACATTTCATCATATAAAAAAAATGTCCTTACCATAGGACTCAAGATGAATAGAAGCGCACTAGTGAGAGCCAGCCTCAAGATCAGGGCAAAGATGTTGCCAGGGGCATTTCATATCTTCGTTAGAAGGTCCAGGGGCCTTCTATTGGTGTGACGCCCATGCCTGAGAAAGTCTCCTGAAGCAACACCTATGTCTATGCTCCAGCCTGATGTCATGAGTCTAGAGCCAGGGCAGCGAGGACCCTGTAATCAGACACTCTGCAAATCCCATGGCTTGGAGAAGAAGCAGGTGGCGCTGGGACAAATGCTCTGTATGCCCAGAGCCCACTTGAAAACCACAGGGGGCTGTAGAGGTGTGCAAGAAGAGCTGCAAGGGGTTACTGAGCTATTCTCAGGAGAGACAGGAATGAGACTTGAGGTTGGTGTGAGAGGTAATGAGGACTCTAAAAACAGAGCAAGTATCGGAAACCAGCAGCTAGACAGGACTCATTGGCACCAAGGTCTGGGTCCCGGGGGACAGCTGGATAGGTGAGTCAGGCAGGGAATATTGACATAGTCATCTGAATCAGTGTCCTCCACTTTGGCAGCAGGCTTGTGGTAGAGACTCACATATTCACAGCTGGTCTTCAGAGATGGGGCATGGAGCCAGAGAGCTTCAGACACCTGGGAACAACCAAAGAAGCATCACTGGATCTGGGGAGGGTGATTTTAGTATCTCTCCAAATAGATTTTCACAGTGGGCAATAGGGGGTATGTGCAAGGTTGCCAATTTCTAGAAGGCAAAGACACATAAGTGGCTCAGCCTTGGGCAGTTTCAGGGTGGCGTCTCACCGCAGATAACTGGAAACCACTTCGATCTAACGTGGGCAGGAAATGCCTTAAATGGGGCTCAGGCTAAAGTTACGTGGCTAAGCATGGGTCTGAAGGGGACTCAGCTGCCAGAGGAGTTTCCCCTCTGGGATTAGATGGTATGACTTGTGGAATAAATATGCATCTTTTTAGGGAGTTATTCAGAAGCAGGGTGAGTCATCCCCTGCACCTCTGTAAGGACTCAGAGAGGCTATGATGTGGCATAACAGTACATTCCAGGAAGGGGTAGGGAAGAGGAGGAAGGCAGGAGGCCACTTGGGCACAGTGGTGCTCCTCTTCCCCGGAAAGAAACTTCAGGATCAAGTGCCTTCAGGATGGGTCAGTTCTTGGGAAGACAGGCCTATGCCATGATTCCAACACTGCACAATTAGTATAACATCCACCCAAGAAGGCTTCAGTAGGGAGAGTCACCTATTGAAATACAAGTGCCAAGAACTACAAGTCCAACCCCATGAACATAGTAGGCACTCAGGAAGGCTCACTCATGGAAAGGAACTATTACTTCGTGAACTTTACCAGAGAGGGAATGAGCTGCAATTTGTTTCAAAAATATGTCTCCTACTGCTTGTTACAGTTCATCAGCTAAGAGTAATTTATTCTGCTTGAAAAATCAAGATGCTCCCTATGAAAGCCAAAATATTGAGCTATTAACCATACACACCTTGTGGTGGACTGGTTCAGTCAAGATTTTTGTCCCTAAGAGTGCGAACGAGAGTTTCAAGCAGGGAGGAAGAGTAAGATTTGAGCAAGGTACAGGCTCAGGTGTGTGTGGTAGCAGGGAAGTTCAAGAGGAAAGGACTGGTGGAAAGGTAGATGGTGCTGCCGGACCATACCTAAGCCACTGTGAACCTTCTCTAGCAGGGGTGTGTGAGGGCAAGGTCAGGAAGCTGGAGGCGACCGTGGCAGAGCTGTTACTTGTTACTGGGTATCACTGTCCCTTTTTAGCAAGGCACACAATTGCCCAGTTAGGAACTCCATTTCTCAGTCTCCCTTGAAGATAGGTGTGGTTACACGACTAAGTTATGGCCAGTGGGATGTGACTGGAAGGGATGTGTGAAACCTCAGGGTCATGGTCTTAAAGAAGCACCTTTCACTTTCTCTCAGGGGCTGGAATGGAGACCTAGTGCTGGTGACTGAGCATTGACGGTGGACCAGGCGAGACTCCAGAGGATAGTGGAGCAACAAGACAGAAGGTGTTTGAGCCCCTGGATGACCTGGTGGCTTTGGCCACCTCTTCCTGGCCCCCTGCTTTAACTTGGGAGGAAAACAGGCTTCCACCTTGTGAGCCCTGTGGTTTAGGGTCTGTTGCATTAGCTTCATCTACACCCTAATTAAAACAAGAACATTCACCAACCTTAGTTTTTTCCTGGTTTCTGAGGCAATAGTAGTAGTAGTTTTTAACTACTGTGAGCTACTTTAGAGAATAAAATAGTTTCTCTTCTTAATGTGGATAAACAAAAATGAATGGACAGTTTAAATACTTTTTACCCATCTGCCAATGGCCATCCATAGACACAGGAGCTCCCTATGTCCATTCACAGATTTCCAGAGGAATCCTCCTCACCCAAGGGTTGAACCCTATCTATATCTTCACATCTGTCTGCCAAGTCATCCTCTAGGCCAGGCTTACTACCTCCAGCGTTGGGCAAAGTACCTCCTCTCATCCTACAGAGTTTACTAGAAAGTTCTCCCTCATATTACGGTAAAACTGGGTAGATTCCAATCCCTTAAGACCTCCTGGAAATCGCAGCTCTTTCACATGAAAGTCCTTCCGTGCGGTAGAGTTGCCGTCCATCGCCCCTACTGAGTGCGCATTTATCCCACGGTAATGCTTGGCTGGAAGCCAGGTAACGAGGTCTACCGCAACTGTTGGGCAACTCAGTCCACCGACACCCTCAGAGGAGGAAACTGACACAACGTCTTCCCAGACTCGGGGCCCAGGAGCTGCTGGGAAAGCCGTGCCCTCCGGCTAACGGGCAGCTCCAGGAACTGCCCCACCCCCCGGCCAAGCCCAGGTGTAGGGCCGCCCTTCCGGCCGCGGCTGCCAATAAGGGGCGGGGCGGAGCCTACCTGCGGAGCGACAGGGGGCGCCGACGCTCGCGGGCCTGGGAGAGGGACCTCCCCGTCACCTAAGGAGACGTGGAGAGGAGGTGAGGGCGTGGCCGCGGTCCGGTCCGCCCCCGACCCGCCCCCGGCCCACCCCGACACGCCGGAAGCCCTAAGGAGGCGGAGCGGGCGCCGAGGCGCGGGGCATTCCCGGAGGCGCCGGGCTCGGGCGCTGCCTCGGCGTCCGCGCAGTTTCTGCGGCTGCAGCGCGCCCACAGTCCCTCTCGGCCCTGCCCCCGCCCCGCCCCTCCCCTCCGGCTGTCCCCGCCCCGCCCCGCCCCTCCGGCTGTCCCCGCCCAGCCCCGCCCCTCCGGCTGTCCCCGCCCCGCCCCGCCCCTCCGGCTGTCCCCGCCCAGCCCGCCGTCCCTGGCGTGCCCCGCCCCCGGCTCACCCTCCGCGTCCGCCGCCGGATCGCGCCGCGGGCAGGCGCTGTAGATGTTCTGGGAGCGCGGCGGCTGGGACGCGCGGGGCCGATGCAGCGGCGGGCGCTGGGACGCCTCCAGGGCGCGCATCCTCACGGCCGCTCGGAGGATCCGCCTCTCGAGGGCTGCCCAGCAAAGCCGCGGGGAAAGAGGAGAAAGGCGTCAGGGGCCTGTGGCCACTGACCCCGCCCTCGGGTCCCTGTAGGGAAACTACAGGCTGTCTCCTCCTCGGGGGCTTGGCCAGGGCTGCAGTGGAGGTGCTCCGAATGTATGAGGCACAGCCTTGCCTAACAATGAAGACCGAAGGGCCGCCCTCCTCGTCCCCATTTCCAGACCGTTGATCCCCTCCCACGGTTCTCATGCCCCAGGCTGCTTATCTGAAGCTCCAGAGTTTCCCTTGGGGGGTGGGAGGAGGGAGGTTCCAGCGGAGTCTGAATGCTCACCTCGCCCTAACTGAGCCCCCAGCCGCTCACCTTTCCTCCTTTGAATGACCCTTTTCATCAACAGTCCCAGCAGGGCCAGCAGGATGAGGGCCAGGGTGGTGGGCACCAGGATGTGAAATCCTTGGTCTTCCAACCCAGGCACGGGGTCCTGGTGAAAGGCTCTGAGGAAGGAAGGAGAGGGAGAGGGAAGGAAGAGGTCTGTGAGGGAGGGAGGTTTAAGGCAGCACTCCCCGAGTAGCCAACTTTTTTGGAGATGGCAGAGGTTTGTCCCTTTGTTAACAAAATCCCCCGCCCCCAAAGAGCCTTGGTCTATGGAATAACGAAATCTGGATTCAAATTCAGATTCAGCTTTCTACTGGCTGTGTGATCTTGAATCAGTCTCTGAACCTCGCTGAGCCTCATTTCTAAGGAAATGAGTATAGTAAAGCCTATTTCACAGAACTGTTCAAGGATGAAATAAAATTGTAGGTATAAAGAAGTGAAAGCACCTGGTCCAAGAAGCAATCAGTAAATGTCAGTTCCCCTTCTGACTGCATCTCAGCTTCTCTACAAGATGAGTGCAAATATAAACCAAGTTCAGTTTCTTGTAACTATGGAAAAGATGTTTCTCTCATGAGGTGCCTTCTGCTTAGAAGGTCTTCCCTCCATTTTCTCTAGAGATTAAAATTTTACTTTCCTTAAAGGGTCAGTACATCAGTTCTCTTTTCTTCTGCAAGCATGGCAAACTAGAATCAATTTTTTCTCACTGTCCTCAGTTCTTGTGTTTATACAGTTTACAACCCTTATCACAGTCAGACTTGCATTAGTAAGAGAAAACTTGGATATTGCATGTTTTCATCTTTCTTAATTTTTCAGGACAGAGCACAATGCCTGGCAGATAATGGAAACTGAGAAAATGTTGGTTGAGGGACACCTGGGTGGCCCAGTCAGTTAAACTTCTGACTCTTGGTTTCAGCTTGGGTCATGATCTCAGGGTTGTGAGAGTGAGCCCCCAGAAGGCTCAGTGCTCAGCATGGAGTCTGCTTGAGATTATTTCTCCCTCTCTCTGCCCCTCCTGTTTGAGCTCTCTCTCAAATAAAGAAATCTTTTAAAAGAAAAAGAGGGGCGCCTGGGTGGCTCAGTCCTTAAGCATCTGCCTTCAGCTCAGGTCATGATCCCAGGGTCCTGGGATCAAGCCCCGCATCAGGCTCCCTGCTCTGTGGGAAGCCTGCTTCTCCCTCTCCCACTCCCCCTGCTTGTGTTCCTGCTCTCGCTCTCTCTCTGTCAAATAAATAAATAAAATCTTAAAAAAAAAGAAAAAGAAAAAGAAAATGTTGGTTGAATTGACTTGAATTCTTCTCCACTGGAAGACTGGTGTAGTCTACTGAACTAGGAATCAGGAGTCCTGGTTCTATTTGAAAACACATAGTTCTCATAACCTCAGTTCCTCATCTATAAAACCCAAATGATGTTGGAGGTCCCTTTCTTCATCAACATGCTTGTCTTTGCTTAGGCAAAATTAATTCCAATTCTTATAGATTTTCTTTGGAAGTCTGCTCTAATGCCCTAGTGGTCCACTGCAGCACTTTTCTGGGTGTCCCCCACCCTTTAGAGCAGTGCTGTCCAGTAGAAATACAATGTTACACATGTAATTTTAAATTTCCTAGTAGCCACACTGAAAAAGCAAAAGAAAACAGGTGAAACTAATTTGAATAGTTAAGTGTTTCATCGTTAGTTTTATTCTTATTTAGTTCCCCATCAAAGCAGATCTGAGTGAATGCTGAGTGACTTAAAGATTTGGGTCTCATTTCTACAGGATCTCCTGCTGGGACATTGCCAAGTGTATTCTTGTCATTGGACTAATGAGCTAATGTGCTACGCTTAGGTAGTATAGTACACAGTGGCCTAGAGACAAGAAGGGTCTCTGTTGGCAAATGTTGCGGGAAGACTTCAGTGGATCTCCTAACTTTAGGCTACTTTGCCTGACCTCTAGCCCATCCTGGATGGTGGAGACCCCTTACCTCTGCCTATGAAGCCTGGTGTGGTAGTTGTAGCTGGCTGTCTGGGGTCTAAGCAGCCTCTCCGGAGCTGAGGTCTTTGAGGCTGTGGTGGATGGCAGGAAGGTTGGGGGCTTGGCAGCTGCTACTGAAGATGCCCTGGAAACTCGAAGGTGGTGAGAGATGGGGGTGGTGGAGGAGGAGTGGATTTCTGGAGGGGCCTCCGTCCTTTCAGCTGGTGTGGTAACTGCAGGAGATAGCAGAAAAAAGTGACTTTTTCTATACACTCTAGTCTCTAGCAGGATTGGGTCACCCTCTCTTTCCTGAACACACTCTTTCCCTTTACCTAGACTCTGTGCTTGCAGTCCTCATGGCCTGAAATGCTTTCTTAGCATGTCCTCTACACCTAGTGAATTCTATATATATTTGCTTCAAAATGCCATTTCCTCCAGGAAGCCTTCTCTGATTTCCCGGGCAGAAGAGCTTGCCCTCCTCTGAGCATGGAGAAAACCCTGTTTGTAATTCCATCCCCACGCTGCTTTATGCTGTATTTCTGTGCTTGTCTATTCTCCTCCAGCCCACACCCATCAGTCACAACCTTGGGTATACGGTACACTCAGTTACACTATCCCTCTTGGAACCCAGCAAAGTCCTCTAGTGTGACAATTGTTCGATTAATGTATCTACCTCACAAGATAGATGTGAGGATGTGATGGAAATATTGCATGTCAAAATGCATTTAAAACAGGAAAAGGATATAGGAAAGTAAAGGTACCATAAGTATAATCATCAGTCTTTTTATTGCAAAATAGAATTGTTAAAATCACAGTATTCCAGCAAATGTAGACAGCCCTACGGGGAACAGGAGGCATAAGGACCTCTGGCTGGAAAAGGTCTGCCCAGTCTTGCTTTCCACAAGTCATTCATAAAAAAGCTAAGTTTTTTTGTGAATGGAGCACAAACCTCATTACTTGTGGTGCCACCTGGTGGTGATGTGTAAGTCCTGCAATTAGTGCCAAGTCGGCAAGGCTTTAGGAGGGGCTTGAAGGACATAGGATGCTAATCTCAGGGAGGTACCCTCTCCCAAGACAGGGAAATACACATCTGAGACTCAGCTGTGCTCTGTCAACCATTCGATGAACTGAACACATCCCCCCTCCTCCACTGTCACAATGCTAAATCATCTCTCCCACCCCCTGCCCTGCCCTAGCTTTGGTGAACTGACCTTTATGTATGAATTCAAAAGAACTGTCATGCGCAGGCATCTGGAGCATGGAGAAAACCCTGTTTGTAATTCCATCCCCACGCTGCTTTATGCTGTATTTCTGTGCTTGTCTATTCTCCTCCAGCCCACCAGGGGGCACCGGCATGCGTAGAAATCGATGAAACCAAGGTGGAGGCTCGGGCATCGGCTCCTCTTCCCAGAATAGCTCATACTCTATGGAGGCAAGGGGAATACACCGGTGGGCTCTAAGAGCAGACTGAGACCTGGGGAAGGGATGTTAGTAGGAGTGGAAGACGACCCAGCCAGGGTGGATGGCAGCCAGGGGATGAGGGCAGGGTCCACCAGGAAGAGCAGAAAAAAAAATGGGCTGGAGACTTCCCCGAAATAAACATTCTTTCACCTTCACTCAGCCAACCTTCGCACTAGCCACCACTGGGATTCTAGGCTGTGGCATTAGTGCTGCATTTGAGTTAGGAATGTCAGTGGAGGAATGGAGAAAGGTGGGATTTCGGAGAAGACATACGGAAAGGATCCGACTATAAAGTACCAAGTTTGGCCTACAGATGTGGCTTGAAAAATGACTGTCTTTCCTTTAGAGTTATCCCTGATATTTCTCATGGGACAACTATGTGGGACAATTATGGGAAATTATTCTAATTTCCGCCTGTCTCAGAGCCTCTCCTCAATCTTAAACCCCCACTCCCCTCAGGCCTTGGGTAGGATGGAATCAGTACAACACAAGAAGAGTGCTTATCTTGTTTCAGAATCTTGTTCCTTTCAAATGGTTTGGACAGGAAATTTGGGGGACTGTGAGGTTTCAACTATGTAAATCCCAATGCTCTTTGGACTGGCTAACATGGCAATAGCATGAGAGTCTGGAGGACTGCTATAGTTCAGTGGTTGTCCCAGCCTTCCCGGGTGGAGACATTTGCTGGGTGCACTGAGCCTGGGGCACCTACCACTGTAGACAGTCAGTGTGACTAGTTGGATCTTGCCTCGGTCTGTGTTCATGCCTGTCCCACAGGCATAGACTCCACTGTCACTCTTGGCCAGCTCTGTCACCTCTACTAGGAACACATTCTTATCTGGACAAGGCTTCAGGGTGACGCGGTGCTTGTATTCTTCCTTGACAAAGTTCTTGTTGGACACCACGGTGGCACATCCTCCAGATTCGGCCATTTCCCGGCACAGATAGAGCCTCATATGCATTTGAGGAAGCGGGCACTCAATGGTAACGGATCCACCCAGCATTCCCCCCATCTTTACTTCGGGGAGGGTCCTCACAGCCCCAGCCACTGTAGGGAGAGGGAGTTAATATAGAGGAAGCCCCATTCCCAACCACATCCCCCACTCCAGCCCTCTTTCCAGCCCAGCCTCACACTCATCCCTAGCTCCAACCCCATCTCCATCATCAGACCAAGCCTCAGCTGGCCCTCAGCCTCGGCCCTCTCCTGCTCTCTAGCGCTGGCCTCATCCTCCGCCTGCTCTCATCCCTAACCCTATGTATGTCCTCAGCCCACTCTATGCCCTGGTCCCTTTGGCCGGAGGCTGGCTCCCAGCCAGACCTCTCCCAGCCTAAGCCTTAACATAACCTCCAACCTCATTCAAACCCAACCCATAAGATCCCAGACACCAACCCCCTAAGACAACCCCCTATAGCCAAACTACTGCCCCACGCCAAGGAGAGATGCTATGCCGTAGTGACCCCAAATAGCACATGGTGCCCAAGTGACTTCAGTGTGGTGTTGGGAGGCACAGTGCGATTTTGCTGCAAGAGGTTTTCTGTCTAGTTTTGTTTTGCTCAGATCCACTCAGCCAAATAGACTGTTCACCCTCGGTTTCATTTGTTAAATCGTTAAAAAACAACAACAACAAAAAACCCCAAGCCCTTATTGAATGCCTTTCATGTGGCAGGAAGGTAGCTGGCATCCCTCCATGCACAGAATGAATCATTTAGTGGGCAGCACAAATGACCAGTCACTATAGCCCCAGCACAGTGTAATAAACCCCACCATGGAGATACACAGCATTCCTTGGAAGCAGTGAGCAGAGACACCAGATCCGCGTTGTTACAGAGGGATGGTGTAGTTTGAGGAAGGGTTTCTGGGAGAAAGGATGTCTCAGTTGTGACCTGAAAGACTGGGCGTGGAAGGCAGCTGAAAGAATGATGATCATCTTCATTCAAGGGTGTGTGTGAGTGTGCGTGCATGTTTGCACGGGTGTGTGCACATTGTATGTGTGTGGGAGAGGGTGTGAAGCATGGAGGAATACATGGTTCATGAGTCCCTGAAATCAAAAAGCTTGTGCTTTGGCTGAGAGAAGACAGGTCTAATGCAGTTGAATCAGCTGGAAGAGAGGGTAAGTCCAAGTAAGATTAAATATCAACTAAGTGGGTCTCAATAAGAGTCCACATATTTCTGGGAAGAGGGGCATAGGGTGAAATGTGTGTGTTGGATTGGGGCCAGGGGACTTGGGTGCCAGAGGAAAGACTCTTCCAGGCAGTGAGTACAGCCCCCAAAGAGGCCAGGATAGGAGAGAGAACATGGAATGTTCGTGGGGCAGAAAGGAGTTGACAAATTTCTTGAAATTCATTCACTGACCACACGTTAAGAATAGCTCCAAAGAGTTTAGTAAAATGAGGAGAGTCAAGGAAAGAAGCAGGGCTTGAGGTTTCTGGATGAGCAGAGAGAGCTGGGGAGGACATTCCAGAGAGAGGGGAGAACGTGGATAACAGTGAAGAGGTTGAAGCAACCCTGGGATGTGAGGTGGGGAAGAGTGGCAGGAAGGGAAGCAGTTATAGGAGCATGTTCAAATCTAAGAGTGCAGTTGGTGTTAAATGGTAAGGAGAAGCAGGGGGGCCAGCCAGACCCGTAATATCTGCCATGGGGACCCTCACACAAGTAATCCAATGCTGCTTCCAAGCTGCTGGAAATTGAGGTGTGTGAGGCAGCCTCATGACTAGAACATGGCAATGGAAGGGTGACCCATTCAAAAGAGAAAAACCTGATCAAGGGGGTGGGGGAATTACCCTGTGTGACCAGACATCCCGCACCTGTGTGTGAGGCCCAGCACCTGCCAGTGAACTTGTATTTTTGGACCAACCCAGCCAGAAAGGAGAGTGAATGCTGCTTTCCCAAGAGCAAGATGCTACAATGTGGGCGGGGGCAAGATAGAGCAGAGGGGGGCCACCACCTATTCAGACACCTCCAGTGACCTCACTCTGCTCAGGGATGAGCTTCTGGAAAAGCCGTGGTTTACCCAGATCCTCTGTTACGGGCTGCATGTTTGTGTCCCACTAGAATTCATGGTTTGAAGCCCTAACCTTCAATGTGATGGGAGTAGGAGGTGGGGCCTTTGGGAAGTAATCAGAGTTAGATGAGGTTAGATGAGGTTAGATGAGATCCCTCATAATGGGATCAGTGTCCTCATTCCCTCCATGGACACAAGAAGAGGCCGTATGAGCACCCAAGGAGATGGCGGCTGTCTGTCAGCCAGGAAGAGGACCCTGACCAAGGGCAATGTTTGCCGGCACCTTGATCTTGGGCTTCTAGTTTCCAGGACTGTGAGAAATGAATGTCTATTGTTTAAGTCACACTGTCTATGGTATTTTATTGAAGCAGCTGGAACAGACTAAGGCATCCTTACTGTGCAAACTCTGAATGGATGAAACACAAGAAAAGCTGCTGGATACACTGAGCTCTGGTCCCAGGGAAGCACGAGTTGGTGAGATGTGAAATGACCAGACCCCAGCTCTCCTTGGAGTTCATAGTAGCTTCTAACCCACACCCAAAGCTTAGAAAAGCAGATTTCTCAAAGAGAGAAAAGACAGACATAATCTCCTGGTTTCAAACTTATGCACAGGGGTGCCTGGGTGGCTCAGTCGGTTAAGCATCTGCCTTTGGCTTGGGTCATCATCTCAGGGTCCTGGGATTGAGCCCTGCATCGGGCTCCCTGCTCAGCCGGGAGTCTGCTTCTCCCTCTGCACCTACCCACCCCCTGCTCGTTCTCTCTCTTTCTCTCATAAATGAATGAATGAATGAATCAATCAATCAATCAGTCAATAAAATCTTTTAAAAAAATAGAACTTATGCACAGTGTGCATAAGATTCATTTTGGAGGAACTAACTCAGCTGCAGATGACCTGATCTTCCCTTTTGTCATGGTGGTTACATCTATCTAGGGTGGGGCCTGTGGACCTGCATTTTAAAATAAACATCCTAGGTGTCCTTGAATTTTTGCAATTCTGAACTATATAGCTATATTTCCAAATGATTCTGGGAACTAATGGGAGGGGTGGAAGAGGTGACTAAAGGACCCACCCTGCTTAATATTGGTATTTTAGAGAGGCTACTCAGTAAGCGACATTGATCTCTAAGTTGGTGACTTGCTTTTCAGTGGTGATGGTAGGGGACAGGGATATATGTGCTTTAAAAAGTCACTCTCAACATATAATTGGATATAAATATATATTATAAATAGATATAAATTATATATATAAATTATAAATAAATATACATATATATATTTGGAGCATGGGGAAAAAACACATAATTTCCATGATGAAAAACATGGTAAATGCCCACAAGGCCTTAGCTGGGGCTGTGCTCTGGAGACAGACTTTGGATTTTGTGTAGCCATGGTTTGCCAGGTGATGAGCGCCCTGTCAACTCAAGTTGCAGCAGAATTATGTCTGGAAGAGGAAGTTGGCCTGAGATTTTTATGTTTGTCAGATGGAGTGTGAATTTTTAAAAAAGGATGAGAAACGTCCAACTCAACTTCCCACCCCCACATATGCCAACATGTGTGTCCGGGCTGGCCATCTGCTCTTTGTCCTGTCACAAGGAATGGAGTGTGCCCATATGTGGAACATAAGGAGGAGCACGGAGGACATTAGGGGAAGGAAGGGAAAACTGAAGGGGGGGAATCGGAGAGGGGCATGAACCATGAGAGACTATGGACTCTGGGAAACAAACTGAGGGTTTTGGAGAGGAGAGGGGTGGGGGATGGGTTAGCCTGGTGATGGGTATTAAGGAGGGCACGTGTTGTAATGAGCACTGGGTGTTATACACAAATAATGAATCATGGAACACTACACCAAAAACTAATGATGTACTCTATGGTGACTAACATAACATAATTAAAAAAAAAAAAAGGAATGGAGAGTCCCTTCTCCTCCCAAAAGCCAGTCCCTCCTCCTGTGTCCTGAGTCCGTCCTGCTCACCTTCTTTAGAACTTCTCCGGTACAGCTGTCCCTTTCTGCTCCCTGTGCAATTGGTCTCTTCTTTGCTGGCATTGCCGTGGTTTACACACCTGCTCTGATATTGCCCGTGTTGAAAAAGCCCTCTGTTTACTTTTTGCCTCCCCTTCCTCTGCCACCCCTCTTCCATTCTCTTTCTCAAACAAGTCATCATGATCATGGAATCCACTTCCACACCTCCCACTTCCTCTTCCACCTACACCTGTCAGAATTTTGTTTCCAACATTCAACTAGAACTGTTGGTCCAGGTCAGCAAAAATTTCCTTTTTTCCCCAAATTTCCTTTTTTACCCCAAATCTTCCTTACATTTGGTGTCTTTGTCTTCATTTACTTGCCTCTTGGCAGCATTTGAGGGAACTGAGCCCTCCCACCTTGAAACGCTAACGTCCTGTGGCTTTCCCTGACACCACACTCTCAATGACTGCTCCTTTTCAATTTCCTTACTTTCTTCTCCTTCTCTATCCAACTCGCAATGTTGGGCTGCCCCAGGGCTTGGGGCTTGGAACTTGGACCGGTTCTCTTGGTCTTCCCTCACTCTCCCCACACTAGCTCATTTACGCCCATCGCTTGTAATGCTAACTCTATGTAGATTTCACTAGAACATTTATCTACAGTCTTGTCTGTACCTCTGAGCTCTAGAATCGCCTTTCTGATATCTCCACTTGGACTCTACTTGAATGTCTAAGATGTATTTCAAACTTACAATAACAAAACAAATAGACAAACAACAACAACAAAAGAATTCTTGATTTCTCTTCCAAAACCTATTCCTTCTAAGCTTTTCCTGTTTCAGAAGATTACATCAGCATCTATCCAACTGCTGAAGTCCAAAACTCATTCCCATATTATATTAAAAAATCAAGAATAAATTTTAAGAGTGTGTGTGTGTGTGTGTGTGTGCACGCACGCACGTGCATGCATGGACTGGGTCACAACATCAAGTGTATGTATTATTATTTTGGGGGTCAAGGTAAAAAAAAGATTTGAAAGCCTATATCATGTAATTCTGCCTTGCTTTATTATGGAACCTCATCTAGGGCTCCAGGCAATGTGGTCTATGGCTGGGGCCCCATGCACTGGTTCCTGGGAACCAGGACCACCCCAACATTTGTACAACCCGAAGCAGAAATACAAATAAAGGCCCAAATATCATATGTCTAGGTATTTTAAAGTTATAAATCAAACTAATGAACTGTCTTGGCAAATTCACATACTCCTTAGATGTCCACTCTAAATCATTTCTATGTGGAAAGAATGTTCCCCACATCCCTAGCCTCTGTCCCATCTCCCTTCTTTTCTCATCCCTGTCTCCTGCCCATACCACAAGGGTCCTGGTATGTCCATGACAGATAACCCAGCTTCTACATATTAGCTCCACTCATATCATTCCGAACAGTCACCTGTGGCCACTCTTTTATAGAATTAGAATACTAGGATAAAAGACCCAGGATAGAGGTTCACACAGTCATTAAGAGTGGGCCCAGAGTCATTTGGACAGGGAACTTGAGGTCTAGAAGAGGGGACTTGTGTGGGGGCTTGAGGTGGACAATCTCCTTGGGTCTATGAACTCCTCACCCTGTGGGGAAGGTCACAAATGGAGAAGGATGGGACCCAGAGCAGGGATTCCTCTGGCCCAGCTAGAATGGTGGTATTGCTCAGGTCAGACTTTAGCGGTACAATTTAAGTACCCTTCACTCCTAGAGATCTTCTACCACCATCCAACCCCTCTCTCCTCTCAGGCCTAAGTTTAGTTACCCATCCACTGTGTTCACATACGTCCTACTACCTCTCACAGAGTCTGACATTTCATTTACCTCTTACAGAGTCTGACATTTCATTAAAGCTGCATTTCCTTGGACTTTTACGACTTTTTAATCATCAACTCAAAAAATATTTGACTTTCTTCCATATTCAGGCTATCAGGAGGAAAGCAAATATGAATAAAAAAATAATTTTGACCCTCAAGGAGCTTATCATTTAATCAACAAAATGAAGGGAATATATGCCAAGTCACAATATAAAGCAGAATAAGGTCAGCTATGGGGATGCAGAAGACGGGCTCTGGAAAGTGTTATAAGAAGGAGGTGGAGGCCGAGGTGGACTTTGAAGGATAAAAGGTGGAGGTAAGAGGAAGGATGATCGTAGCAGAAGGAATGGCATGAGGAAGAACATGGTGGCAAAAAGGTGTAGCACATGTTCAAGGAGGAATCCTCTTTGGCTGGAGGTTAGGGAAGTTCAGGGGAGTGTGGTAAGCTCAGAGAATAAAAGGGGAGCACAAGGGACGAGTTTGTAGGCAGTGGGAGCCTTTGAAGTTTGCTGGGAAGGGCGATCCTGTGGTTAGAGTCAAGCATTAGAAAGAGTAATCTGGAGCTGCAGGTGGGTCAGGTTGGAGGAAGTGGGAAAGATAGTTATGGGATGACTGTGTGTTCTTTTCCTTTCCATTCCCTCTGTTAACCTCTCTAGTAGAGACTGCCACTGTTGTTCATTCTGGTAATACTAATCCTACAAGAAACTATAAGAATTGGCCATTGATTGGGTCAAAGCCTGGATGGGGATAAATGGGAAGGGGTGCTAAAAAAAATTAAAAAAAAAAAAACAACCATTCTGCATTCTGCAGCTGATATCAGAGATAGTTAAGATGGATGGAGTACCTGATTTGATGGGGACCAATGAGGAAATTGAAGTAAGGTATTAGGCATGTTGCATTTCAGATCTTGGTGGGATATTGAAGTGGGGGTTCCCAGAAGAAAGCTGTAAATTGAGATATGGAACTTGGGAAATGGATTAGGGTTACTGAATGGATGAGGGACTCTTCATTTAAAATTGAAGTTGAAAATCAGCAGTGAAAGAGACCCAAAGAAAGAGAATGTAGAGGTAGGAAGAAAGGAATATGGAGGCACTTGCTTTAAGATCCCCCATTATCAGGCTAATATGTCTAGGAGAGGTGACACCTTCAGCCCTCATGAGTCAACATCTGAGCCCCCCACAGATATGTCTGGAGTGGGGAGGGGGGCACTAGCAGAGAGTGGGGAGGACATCCCAAACTTCACATGGTCTCCATCCTTATCCTGCCCTAGGTACTGGTCTGCAACTAAATCCGTCCAGGAACAGCAGAGCTAGAGATGGTCCGCAACTCCCCTACCTGTGGCCAATCCAAACCCCATAAGATGTGTGGGGTGTTTTCCTATGGCACTTACCTGGCAGGAAGCAAAGTGACCAAAGCCAGAGGTCCATGGTTCCTTTCAGAGCAAGGTCCCATCCACGAGCCCCTGGAGACGGGAGCAGAGAGACCCACTGCTCACCCAGGAAACCTTTACAATCTGGAGCTTGAAAGAGATTTCTGGCCCCACGAGAAGCAAGGCTTGAAAATGAGGAAATGACATCTTGTCTTGTTTGCTAACTAGTCTTAGACTAAAAAAGAAAATACCAGCAAACCACAGCGGAAGTTAGGAATTAAGAAAACATGTTATGTTGAGTACGAATGGGTCACCAGGGTTCACAGGGCTTCTAGGCAGCTCCTAAAAACTATTAGAAACTCTCAGGCATGATATTTCTTTGCCTTGAGCACTTTTTCTTGGAGGGTCCTCCATGCTTTATGTATGTTCATTAACTTCCGAGCCAGAGTCACTTGCTTTATCCCTGCCTTCAGGACAAAAGAGACTTATCACCAATTTTCTCCATCTGGGGAAAACCGTATGGATAGAAGCTTAGGCCTGAAGTCAGAAGATGCTGGTTGTAGCCCTTGAATTTATTTGACAAATAATTTTGAGCACCTACTATGTGGGACTACTAACCATAGGTTTTGAGAAATTCACTCCCTTTCTCTAAGCCTAGATCTCTTTATCTACAAAATGAAGGTGGGACTAGATGAGCCTGGCATTCCCTCCTGCAGGTCATTGTTCCTGGAATCTTAATTAACCCCAGTTTACCCAGAACCTTATATCCACCACCCCTCATATCCCCCAGCTATGCTCCTAAAGGTGTTGCCTTCTGGCGGGGGCCCAGGCCACCACCCAGTGACCACAGGTGCATGCCAGAAGATGATGTGACAGTGCCTAAGTCACACATCCTGGCAGAGCTAGCCTTCAAGCCCCCAAGGGACCATGAGGGGAGGTCCAGTACCTGATGGAGGAGAGAGAAATGCTGAGGCCCTCAGACACGAGGTATCACAGAAAGAGCTTTGGGATCCAGTCAAAAGATGTGGGTTCTGGTCCTGGCTTGGTGCTTGCCTAGGGCCTCTGTTTTCTCATTGATAAATAGGAATGGTTCCTGCCCTGCCTATGTCACAGGGCTTTCATGAGGCCTGGCAGAAGCCATGGTCATAGAGGTGGTTGAAGGGCATTTTGTTGTGGAGATGCCTGGGGCTGTTCCTTAGGAGGGGATCCTCAGGGCTTCATTCCTGATGGTTACATTTTAGGTGGCTTCTCAGCATCCCCACCTCCAGGCGCTGCAGCCTCTTGAGCCCACGGAGGCCTGAGGCTATTTCCACCCCCTTTCTGGGAAGGCTTGTCAGTGATCCTACGCCCACTGCTCCCCACTGGCCCCTACACACCAGGTTTGTCACATGCTCTCCAAAACACAAAAAGACAACATCCGCAGTGGAAGTCGCATGTGAGGCCCAGAGCAGGTGCAGAGGAAACGTGTGTGGGCAGGCAGCCTGCCCTGCCCACCCCTGCCTGGGTTTCCACCAGCACCGAACTGCTGTGGTTCTGATTTCCTCCAACCGCGAACTGGGCCAAGGTGGCAGAGGACAGGCCTGAGGCCTGTGGTTAGAGTGAGTGACCACCAGAGGTCTTGGTTCTGGTCTGCCTCCACCCTTCCCTACTTGGAGGGCTCTTCCCAATTCTCCGCAGCTCTCCCACTCTGGGGCTCTGCCATTTGCTGGGCTCAAGGCCTGGGACTGGCTTGGAGAGAGAGAGAGAATAAATGAGTGAATGTGACACGTGTGGGTGACAGTGGGCATGAGAGTGTGTGTTTGTGAATGTGTAGTGTGTGAGTGATTGTGAGTGTGTAAATGTGGGTGTGCAGCGTGTGAGTGATGAGTGATAGATGACTGTGATGTGTGACTGTGTGTGAAGTACGTGCCATGTGGGACATGTTAGTGTGTGAGTGTATGATGTGTGGTGTAACGAGGTGTGTGTGAGTGTGCAAATGAGTGCGGGGCGTGTGGTGGGTGGGTGTGAACATGCCACCTGTGTGAACGTGTGTGTCTAGGAAGATGCAGGTTGGATGCACTGTGCCGGGGCCCCGTGCCTGGGCATGTGTGGGGATGAGAGATTTTCACATCATGTGTGGCCCAGATAAAACCCTTAGAGACCTCACGCTGGGGTTGTTCAGAGCAAGAAGTAGGTGTCTCATGACTGCCAGGCAGGAAGGGAATGTTTGGAGCCTGAGAAATCAAAACTCCCAGACCTGGGCCATCAGGTCTCTACTTCCAGATGTTGCCCCAGGGTCTCGGGGGGAAGGCCGAACCCTGGCTAAACTCAAAGTGGGAGAAGTTTACTGTCTCCATGCTCTCTCCCTCTCTTATTTTCTCCATCTCCACTTCCTCTCTCCTTTCTGCCTCTAAGGGCAGCTGCAGTGTCCTGGAGCACCCAGTCCCGGGAGCAGGGGTGAGAAGCTGAAGCCCACTGACACGCAGGGGACTCCATGGCCTAACATCCTCTGGCGCCAGTGCTTGACCAGAGGGATGAACCCCAGGGAAAAAGTTCTGAGTCTCATGACAGGCAGGTGGACAGAATAAATAATACCAAGTACACCGGTAACTGTTCTAAGTCTTCGGGAAAATTCACTTAGTCCCCATAATAACTTAGGTTTATATTATCCTCCCTAAGTTACAGATGGGATAAGAGAGATATTTCTCATAAGGTGGCTGTGAGGATTGCCTGAGGTAAGCATTACAAAGGATTTAGCACGATGCCTGGAATAGAGTATAAGTGCAGTGGAGATTAGCCCTTGCCATTAAGGTGGAAGTCCTTATGGGTTGTGCTTGGTTATAGCATCCATCACCCTACTTTGACCTCCCATGTCACCCGTCTCCAAACAGCCATTTCCTGGGCCTTTCCAGAACAAAAGATGAGATCCTGGGTGGCCCTCCCCATGACCCAGCACTGCTCTTCCCAAAGACAGACCATGAGAATCCCCCCGCTTGCTGGACTCACCGGGGAGCCCATTTCAGGTAGAGATACCTGGCTCAGGTATCCTGTGGTTCCCACTTTCTAAGAACTTGGACCACAGGCTTGCCTGTCCTGGAGTGAGCCATTCCACAGGAATGGGGCTTTGGGAAGGTTAACCTTTACTATAAGCCTACTCGTGGCTTTCTGCTACAAGAAATGGTAAGACTTCTTACCTGAATAGGGCTTATACTTCTGTTGGTATTCTAAGATTAGAACCTGAACATGTAGAGTTTTTCATGAATTTTAATATAACTTATGAGCAAAAATCTGGAATTTAGAGTATTCACCTCCACATACTTTGACTCTAGAGAGGGTGGATTGGCTGCCCATTTCTTTATCAGACTTACCAAGCCCGTGAAACTCCTGGAGTCTTACAGGACCATCTTCCTTCCCCTCCTGTTTCAGCTCCTTGGCCAGCTGGGGGCCATCAGTCTCAGTTTTACATCTCCTCTCATGGTGTACCCCCTGTCTACTTAGATATATGGTCTTTCTGAGGTGATCTCTTATTATTTTTATTGTATAGACTCCCTGGTAGAGTTCATCATTTCAGAGAAGCTTGTGGGGTCAGGGGGACAGTCCTTGTTTCTCTGCCTTGGGGACCAGCTTCAAGACCTTACCACAGTCAGCTCCTCTCTACTGTCTACTGTTCTTAGGAGACATGTTCTGTCCTGACTCTTGGGAAAGTCTTGGACAAACTGTATATCTATAGATAGATAGATAGATAGATAGATAGATAGATAGATAGATAGATGATAGATAGATAGATAGATAGATATAGATATAGATATAGATATTTATCTTTACACACCAAAATCAACTGCTATAAGCAGATTCTCAGCTACTATTAGGCCTTAGTAATATGTAATCATTATTACATAATAGATTGTTTAAAAGAAAAAAAATCAAGATAATGCAAGGACTTGACAAGATTCTTTTGTCATCAGAAATATTTAAGTAGTTCTCTGAGTGATTGCTGGACTGATCATTGCTATTTGGTTTATCATTAACCCCACAGTTGATTGTTACTCCCCAGTACTGGGCTGGCTAGTGTCCCTCCAAAATTTATGTCCACCTGAAACCTCAGAATATGACCTTATTTAGAAATGGGCACTTTGCTGTATGTAATTCATTAAGATGAGGCCACACTGGATCTGGGTGGACCCTAAATCCAATGGCAAGTGTCCTTGTAGGAAGGCCATGTGAAGACACAGAGAGACACAGTGGGAGAATGTCAAGGGAGGATAGGGCAGAGGTTGGAGGGGTGCAGCTATGAGCCAAGGATCGCCAAGGATTACTGGCGGCCCCTGGCAGCGAGGAGAGAGGCACAACACCCTCACAGCTTCCCCCTCAAAGCCTCCTGAAGGAACCAACCCTGTGGACATCTTGATTTCAGACTTCAAACCTCCAGAATGGTGAGAGACTAAATTACGGTTATTTTTTTTTTTAAGATTTTATTTATTTATTTGAGAGAGAGAATGAGAGAGAGAGCACAAGAGTGGAGAGCGGGAGAGGGAGAAGCAGACTCCCTGCTGAGCAGGGAGCCTGATGCGGGACTCGATCCCGGGACTCCAGTATCATGACCTGAGCCTAAGGCAGTTGCTTAACCAACCAAGCCACCCAGGCGCCCAACTACGGTTATTTTAAGCCACCCAGTTTATGGTACTTTGTTACAGCAACCCTAGGAAATTAATATACTCCCCCACACTGGTGAGTTTTTAACTTATTAGATATTCCATTTCAGCTACAGCCCAGCTTCCTTACTCATAGAAAGATTTAAGGTGGACTTTGGGTAGTACATTATTATACCTGGTATCACTTATTTATAATATCAATTAAGAATAATGTAAGATTGTCTATGGCAATTGTTTAGTGGCATTTCTTGGCCTCTGATTCTAGGGACCAAGACAGGCTGTCTGAGGTCAGGATTGGCTTGTGGGTTATTGGCATTAATTATAGAAGCTGCATCTTAATCCTTCTGACCTACAAATAATGGTTTGGAGGTCAGGGATCAGCTTCCAGGGGGAAAACAGTGATAGGTTCTGATGGACCTTGTAGATATGCATCCTCATTACAGAGAACAGGGAAATAAACATTCCTGATGACCACCTCTCTGGACCAGGGTGAAGCCCAAGGTTCTGACCTAGTTCATGGTCTGGGAATCAAGCCTGGACACTGCAGGTGGTAGAGCAGGAGGGGAGATCAAGGAGGACTGAAATCTAAGTCTTGTCAGGGGCAGACTTAGAAGCACAAAGTATCAGAAGCTGTATGTTCAAGGTCCATATGGAAGCAAAGGTTCTGCCCCATATCAGGCAGGATAGAAACCTGGGAAGAACTTTCTCCCAGAGAGAACTCTCATAGACAGAGGCCGTGAGGATGAGTCTGGCGTGGGCTGGGGGCTTATAGACCATGACAAGGTTTAGTGCCAGAACCTAGGAATGGCCTTGGCAGACAGGGAGGTCCTTTATCTAATTGCTGTCCCCCAGGACACTTTGGGTCAACTATTCTAAAAGCTAAGTTATCATTTAACTAGCTTCTGGTTGATATTTCTATGGAGGGAGTTTACTCATTTGGTTACTTGATTTTTGATTAATAGCCTCTCCATCTGGGAGGATACCCCAGGAAGGTATGAGATTCAAGGTCAAGTATTCCAAGGATGCTTAACCAAGATTTTTTTTTAATGCCAAAGAGGATTGCAGTTATACTTGCTTTCAGTTTATTCCATTATAAATAGTCCTAATTATGTTCTATAACACAGAGCTTTGGGATCTTGACCATCGGTGTAGACCCCTAACTATTCTTTTACTGAAGATCATCTTGGTCTCACTTGTAGGCAGTCTGCTAGCCCCCTCTCAGCCCAGCATTGGAGGTGGGGGGGAACTTTGGCTTGGGCCCACAGCCTGGAGTACCCGAGAGTGGGACCAAAGCAAAACACTCTGAAAGCGCTGTCTGGGAAATAAAAGGTATGGGGACAAATGCAGTCTGAGCCTCGCTGGTGGCAATCACGGTCTTTAATTATTAACGGAGTCACATTTTTGATTTGTAAGCGAGTGTCAGCTGGTAGGTGCTGGTTGAAGTACAGAGCTCAGAGGGAAAAAGACCTTAAACTTTAGCTCTTTGGAAATCAGCCCCTCCCTGGCATCATCAAACACCGTCTTTACTTCCCTTTGGTTGGGAACTCTTCAAGTAAGTGGCTTCCCAGTGTTTGACCACTCTTTTATCCCCTTGTGTCCCTCTGAGTGACAGAAAGGGAAAGAGTCCTCTTCCCTGAGGAGGGGCTTGTGAAAGACTAGTCCCCATTATGTTTTTCTCTTCCTCCTCCTCCTTATTCTAGAACTCTGCCTCCATCAGGAGTGCAGGGGCTTTTATAGAGAGATTCCTGGCCAAGAAGACACAAGACGCCACCCCTGGTCTTGACACTAGTTTATGCTACCTGGTACCCTTGAGCAAACCTCTTCACCTCTCAGGACCTCAATTTTCTCTCCTGTGAAATGGTTAGCATGTGTGTTTATGATTCCTTGTATATATGCCCATGTTACATGATCCCTCAGGCCCTAGGACTCCAGATAGTTTATGATTTCTCCCACTATGGGTGGAGGTAAGTGTCCCTGATGAGGATTTCAGGTCTTGGTGAGCATAACTATACTGAGAGGAGCTGCAGCTTCCAAGGATTGAGGGATGTTTACAAAAAGGCTGCTGACTGGGTCTGCAGCCTCTCTGTCCGTGTCTAGAAGAGTGCCTTGAGGCTAGTGAGTATGCAAATATGTATTTGCAATGAAGGAAAGAAGAGGAGATGTAAGGGGGGGGATGCAGAGAAGGAAGGGTGGCGTGGAGAGGGGAACCCCATTGAGGATCCCATTAGAAGGGTGTGGGAAAGCCTTCTTTCTGAAATTATCTTCCCACCCACGTGATCTCTCTTCTTTCTGAGAGGTGCCTCTAAGATCTTAATTCTCCTTCTACATGTTGGGCTGTCTCATTAAAATAAGCTGCAGATGGAACCCCTCTTGACCCCTCAACCCCATCAGGAACAGTTAGGCCGGGCTTGGATACCACTGAGGAGGGACAAGCAAACCCTCTGAGCACAGGTAGGAAAAGTGGGGTGTGAGTGCACGCAGTGAAGCCCCCTGGAGTTGAGGTCCCCTGAGGATCAATATGATTCTGAAGGCGATTGTCATGAGTGGTGGGAAAGGACAGAGCGCCTGGCGCCTAGGCTTCCCCAGGGCCCTCCTGGACTTCGGCAGCCATGTTGTTGGTCTGGAGCAAGAAGGCGGTGTAGGCCATGTCGGCTTCCTCCTTGGAGGACTAAGGGAGCAATAGGACAGGAGTCAGTGTTTGGGGCACTGGCTCAGCGGGTGGGGGGTGCAAGGAGGGTAGGCACTAATATCATGAATTCATAATCTTGGCCTAAGCAACCCAAGCCTGTGTTGACCTGCTGCTCTTATTCTAGCTCCCCATGCTCACCAAGGACTAATTTTGAGAAGCGGAAAGTTGCAGTTTCTAAAAATATCTCCCTCTGTCTCACTACCGCCTTCTGACAGGTGGAGTGGAACCACCTCTGTTGCTTGGGCCTGTCCCCGGAAGAGCTGCCCACACAGTCCAAGGGCAAGGTGGTCTAGACTGGTGTCAGCCACCGTGGTTCACGTTTTTCTTTCACTACCTGCTCAGAGATGGAGCTCGGCCACGACACAGAGCTAGAAGGGAAGGCTGTCTCCAGAACAAGCTTCCTCCCCTACTTGTTCCAGATTCGGGGTCTCTGCTGCTTCCAGGGAGAGTAGATAGGATAACAAGCATTAAAACCCTGGCCTAAGGAGGCACAGGGCATGGGAGGAGGTTAATATGTGACCCAGAGTCAGGAGTCACCTCTGGTAGGATTGTAAGCAATGTGGCACTTGGTTGGGGTGGGGATGGGCTTCTGGTGACTACCAAAGTGCCCACTGTCAGCAAATGTCTTTCAGACCCAAGCAGAAGGCTGGTCCTGAGCAAACTCTCAAGGGAGGCTGGGTGGCCTGATGTCCACAGGTTCCACAGCCCAGGAAAAGGATCCACCTAATCACTGGCATTTGACATTTGACCTTTCCCACTCTGTGTCTGCAGCTTCTATGCACTTCCTTCTTATCCCTCAGTCTCCCTCCTTCTGGCATGTTCACAGCCGATCAGCTTTCCTCCTGCCTCTGCCTCAGCCACATCAACACCACAACCAGTAAAACACGTCTTGCCCTCAAAAAGTTCTCCTGAATACTATTTTCATTACCTTCCCTATTCTGACATCAGCTCCCACACTGAGGTGGTTTCTCTTGAGGTTTAACTGCAGTCCTTAGTGCTACACTTCCTTGTCACACAAGTGAGGCCTCCCTCTCCCTCCTCACTCTTACCCGTTTTGCCTTCTTGGGTTCCTCAGTCTCCACGGTGTTCTCGGTGGTGGTGTTGCACTCTGTGGGAGGAGCAAGGTGGGGGGATTAGCCTTCACTGCCCTTATATTCCCACCCCAGAGGCAGAGTCAGGTCTAATTCTTGCTCTCCCAGGGGGGTTGGGCATTCCCTTGAGTGAGGGACATACCATCTTTTCCTCCAAGAGTTGTCTCCTGAGTGACTGGCGAGACTCCCATGTTGTCATTGGCACCAAAATCTCTGGAGTTCTCAAAGTCTGACATGCTAATGTCTGTCCTGTAGCTTCTAATAGAAATCCGGTCTGTCCAGGAGAAAGAGGAGTTGGTGTAGGGACAGAGGACATATGCGAGCAGGACACGCTGCCTCTGAGGGAACCCCACAGGATAGCTGGAGGGGGCAGCGTGGCATGTCGCTCATCTCTGACTCTGACCCAGAGCAGAATGGAAATGATCAGAGTCTCCTTTCCCGTCCCTTCTTACGGGGAATCAAGACTCAACAACCCCTGCCTCTTTTCTTTCTTCCTTCCTTCCTTTCTTCCTTTCTTTCTTTCTTTCTTTCTTTCTTTCTTTCTTTCTTTCTTTCTTTCTTTCTTTCTTTCTTTCTTTCTTTCTTTTTCTTTTAGATTTATTTATTTATTTGAGAGAGAGAGAGAGAGCAGGGGAAGGGACACAGGGAGAGGGAGAGAGAGGGAGAGAAGCCGATTCCCCACTGAGAGCAGAGCCCGATATGGGGCTTGATCTCACGACCCTGAGATCATGACCTGAGCCAAAACCAAGAGTCAGATGCTCAACCGACTGCGCCACCCAGGTGCCCCCAACAACCTCTGACCTTTCAAGGCACAGTGCCTCGTTCTCTTCTCACATCAGCCCTGTGAGGCGTTTACTATTATCCCAGCCTTGAGCCCTGAGGAAATTGAGGCATGAAATGGGGACACCCAAAGTCACACAGCCAGCCAGTTCTCAAAGTAGGCCTGCATCCTGAGCTCCTCATCCTGGCAGTCCTGCCTCTGAACTTGGACCCTGAGCCATCACAGGTGGCCTTCCAGAGACAGGAGCACTTAATGTGAGTTTTGGGTTTCCCAGAACCCTTTCTCAAAGAACCTATGAAAGAGAAGGGACCACGGCAACCCCACACTAAGGGCAGCTAAGCCCCCCACTGAGGTCCAAGGGTTCAGGGTTGGGGGGGCGGGTAGGGGCATCCCAGGCACTCACCAACATTCTTCCTGTGCCGTGCTCTGAGCACCGCCACGACTACGGCCCCCACTGCCAGCACCAGGCCCAGGGGCACCAGGGTGGAGACAAGCACTTTGGAGGTCCCACTTTGTCCCTCAGAGCTGGAAGAAGGACTGAGTTAGTCACTGGAAGGGAAGCCTGGGGTCCCAGGATGTGCCAGCAGGTTGGGTCCTGTTAGCTCTTTCTTTCCCTCTTCTTGATACAGCCCCCTAACTCTACTCTTCTAAGGAGCCTTCCCAGACATGGCAAAGGCAAGGACTGGGCCTTTTCTGCATCCCAGGCCTGGGAAATTGAACTGAATGGTGGACACCACCCCAGCCGCAGGAGAAGGGCCGAGAGCAGCACTGGCCCCTCCTGAGCACAAGCCAAGGCAGTGAGGCCTGCCCCCCTAGTGAGAGGAGGACAGGCTCTCCTCTGGGCTCCCCACGGCCCAAGCTCAGATCCTTGTCCTCTGGGATATTCTCCCTCACCTGCTGGTGTCTGCGGATGCTCTGCCCCCATCTGCAGGGTCTCCGGTATCCTTGACTGTGTTGTCATCCACAAAAAGCCTGGGATTCTGAATGACTTTGCTCTCAACCTCCCTGACGCTTGACTCTTCGCCAGGAGCAGCATCCACTTGGCTGACATCTTGGGACCCTGGAGAAAGACAAGCGGGGCTGGATTATTGTTCTTTCTATGTTTTCACTCCTTGAGATTAGGCGATCAGAAGGGTGGGACTTCATTAGCAATCACAGGGTCAGGGTGAGATCTCAAGGCTGTAGGAGGCGAGTCCACGATAACACTAGAAATAGATGATCTCTGTCCCGTTCATACCAAATTCATTTCCACCTACAAGGCTCCATGGCATAGATCTAGCTCTGCATAGGGGCTGACCCATCATTTGGAGATAGGGAGATTTTTCTCAGCTTTCGAAACCCTGCCCCAGGTCTCCTGACGGAAGGGCTGGGTGCAATCGTGCTGCCCCCTGGTGGTAGCTTGGCAATGGGTCCTTCAGTGAACCAGACGGGTGGGACCACTGCACAGTAGGATTTCTAAAGGGACTATAATACCCTCACTAGGGATAAAACACTCCATGTGACATTTTAAAAAGAGACTTAAAATGCAAGCAGGCTAGAAGAATTTGCCTTAATTTTCTTTATCAGATCTTATACATGAAGATATCTGGCCCTCCTTTGAGAGCAGGCTTTAGTAGAGTATATTGCATGTGATAGTGACTTCGAAATTTCACCAGGTAGAAGATCTCACTTATAGAAAGGGCTTCAAAATAGCCTGAAGGGGCAACTATAGGACTTGTCTTGAAGCTGCGGTTATATGACAAACCCACTTTTTTTTTTTTTTCCCGGTTTGCATGTTCCTTGTAGAAGGCTCAATGAGACTAGATAGAGGCTAAATCTCGCCTGCCTCCAGTCTCTTAGAGCCAAACCTGGGGGCCACCTCTGATGGAGGAGCTGGTAGGCAGGAACCTTCTCTGGTGTCCCCAGGGGACATAGACCTCAGAGACTTACCCTTTACCCTCTCCTCGACTGCCACATAGACAGCCATGGTCTCTCCGTATCGGAGGCCATCCTTCACCCCGCACCAGTACCAGCCTTCATCCGCCTTGGAGACTTGGTTCAGGGTCATGGAAATGATCTGGCTCTTCTGGTCGCAGTTCACGAAGGCCTGGCTGGGCCCTTCAGCTTGGCTGGGCAGAGTTTTGCAAACTTTGTTACTCCACTTGCACCAGTATTTCTCATAGGAGTAGTATTTGCATGGGAATTGGCAGGAGAGCTTGAAGGTCTCTCCCACCCAAGCAGTGGCATTCTTGGGTGCCTTGAGGCCTGGTTCTCCTGGAGCAGGGAGGGAGGGAGAGATGGGCACACAAGTTGGCATTGGTGATACTGCAGGGAAGTGACTGTGGTGGGGATCTTTATCCATGGCCCATTTCCTCTCTGGATAGCATTATAAGTAAATACATTATACTGAATACATAAAGTATGTAATTACGTGCCTGTGTAATAATTATTATTGGTGATCCTCCTGCATTAATCTAGTCTATCATAAAACATAGACTCTTACACATTGACCTCAGTTTGCTTTCCTTGATCTTCTCTTCTCTTCTCTTCTAGACGCAATACAAAGAGCTGCACTCTACTTCAGCTGATGGCATATATACTGTCAAAGAGGCCAATATTCTTTATCAAGAATAAGAGGTGCTACATGTGGTAGTTTGGAGAGTGTGGGGTATGCACAGGAAAGGGTGCTTGTTATAGTTATGAAGACATGATGTCTCGGTAGGTGGGCTCTCTCCTGAGGTCTGTTCCATCAGCATGGGATGAGACAAGAGGAAGAGTGGCTGAGGGGGATGTCGCTGCTGACTGATGGCTCCTGGGGCTGCCTCCCCTCCCTCTTGTCCCAGTTCAGCTCTTACCTTCGACAATCTTGAGCTCCACCGTGGACCTCCAGCGATGATCGCCATTAGTCAGACACCAGTAGAAGCCAGCATCCTCAGTGGTGAGCTGGTTGAGTATGACCGTGTAGGTGCCATTGCCTGGCTCTTCATGCAGCGTGAGCCTCCCCTCGTACTGCTCCTGAACCAGCCCGTCACTCTCCACCAGGGGTTGGCAGCGGCCATTTTGAGTGTCTTCCCAGCGACACCAGTACTTCAGGCTGTTTGCTTCCTTAGGGTTGTAGGGGCAGAACACTGCCACAGAGCCTCCAACCACACCTTTCACCACAGAGGGACTCTTGGGAATTATGGTCTCTAGAAGTACAGAGAGGGAATGGAACATCAGCAACATGGTCTGGGCAACCTCTTGCCCATGGTCTCAGCGAGGGCAGAGAGTGAGGTTTAGACTATTTACCTCACTCTCCTTAGAGAATGAGAAAGACCTTTCTAATGTCACAGAGCCTGTAGCTGGAGACATCCAACCAGACTCCAGGGACCTTCACCACTAGTGTGGGCATCTTGTTTCCTTTCCACACCTTATTCTGGGCAGAGAATGGAAGGAGTTTAAGGAGACACTATCAGTTCTTCTCCTTGGGCTTCTTATGAAATCTCTCTATAAAAAGTTTTTGTCTGTTTATTAGCTCATCCCATAAAAATGGCCAGATGGTTTTTCTCCAAATTAAGAAAATATATTTAAGATGGTATGATTTAAAATATGAACTATGTAGCACAGAAGGTTTACTTGTTGACAACTCTGAGGGCCATCTCAGGGAAAAAAAAAAAAGAAAAAAAAGATGGCCATTCTCCAAAAAACTAAAGCTGACGTCCAGTGGGAGCACTGGACAACTGAAGATGCTGAGGAATGTGGTGAGGTCTGAGCTGGATATAAAAGTGACACGTAGGGAATGTGAGCCCCTTAAGGAAATGTCACAGGTGACATTGAACTGCAAGTACTGGTTTGCTGTTTCTCATGAGGGTAACTCTCTGCAGGGTGCTCCCAGGTGAGGGGGGGAGCGGGGATTTAATGATTTCACCACCTTGCTGACTTGCCAAACCAGAGCTGAGTAGGCCAGATGGCAGAATAACAAATAACCCTATGAGATGTTGAGGGGGAAAGTTAGAGGCTGGGGCATTGTTTTCCTGGGAGAGAGCTGACATGAAGATAAGCCAACATTTCTCCCATTTCAGTATGAGGGATGAAGTGCCATCCTGCTCGAAAGATAGGGAGAAGGGACAGGTGGCCCTTGCAAGCCCTGCCATGGCACTGGGATTCCAGGCTAAGTCTTCACCATGGCTCTCTGAGACCCAAACAATCTGCGGGCCTTGCCTCAATGAGGAGCTTCGCTCTCCTTCTTGTTAATCAGGGACAGCCATCAAAAGGCCTTTGACAGAGAAGAATTAGTAGATAACACAAGGCTGAAGCTGTGTTTTCTAACTCTCCTGTCCAGCTGTCCACATAGCAGGCAGCTCAGGGCTCAATGGAGAGCAGATGACGCTGACTGACTGATGGATATTGGATAGACTCATAGGGTATGAGCCAGGCGCCCACCTGCTGGGCTGACACACCTCTTCCCCTCCCCATCTCAGGTCTCACCTTCATTGACAAAGAGTTGCCAGGCCTGGATGGGCCAGCCTTTGTGAAGCTGGCCATCAGAGTCGGCTCCACAGAGGTAGTACCCTGAATCCTCTTTCCTCAGGTTGGTGATATGCACACTGAAGAAGCCATTATCCTTGAGAGTGAGCAGGATTCTGCCCTCAAAAACCTGAGCCTTCTTCCCCAGGGTGTTGATGACCACATCACAGTCTTCCCCATTGCTTATCCGGCACAGAAATTTGGCCGTATCTTTCACCTCGGAGCCCAGGGCACAATCAAAGGTCACGGAGCCCCTCAGATCTCCATAAAGCAGTTCAGGCTCAGGCTTCAGCACTTGGAGGTCCACGTTGCTCTTATCACCATTGGAATCATCCCCGGTCTGGCAGACGTACATCCCAGCATCGCTGAGCTGGAGTCGCTTGATAATGAAACTGAACACTAATTGGTTGGTACCCAGAATAAAGATCTCTGCTCTGCCCTCATAGTCGGGGTGCACCTGCTCTTTGGAGTCAACGACTAGAACACAGACCTGGCCTGTCTTCTTGCAAACAGACTTCCTCTTCTCAGAATTCTCCAACTTGAAGGGGCAATTGATGGTCACTATTCCGCCCAAGTCAGCAACGTAGACTTCAGTGTCATTTTGGAGCCCAGGACCTGCAGGATAAGGGGCGGGTGATTTCACTTTCTTGCAACAGAGGGCTATTCAGTATTACCAGTGAGGGTCTGGCTGTGCCTATCCCCTTCATTGCCCTCCTTCCAAGAAGGACACTGTCAGAATATCTCTTCCAAGGACCAGCCTTACTGCTGTCTCCTCCGTGAAGCTCTCCCCCAGGTGGCACTAATCTCTTCTGCCTCTGTGCTCTCTTGACACTTACATCTGTATCTCTTATTACATCTGATCTTGCCTAGAGTTAATTATGTTCCCCACAGCCTGGAAGTCCCTTGAGAGCAAAGACATGCTTTACACATGTATGGTTCCCCATGTTGTGCCTAGCACAAGGCCTATACATAGTAGGCGCCCAAATTAATGTGTGTCGAAATAAGCAGAATGAATGTAAGTATAGGGTGATGGATTTCAGTGCATTGTGATAGAAGTTTCTAAAATTTGCAACAGTCCAAATATGGAAAGAACTGCTTTGTAAAGTAATGAATTTCTGCCATTTCAAGTGTTTAATCAGAGGCTGTATACCCAATGTCTCCAGTGTTCTTTCAGACATCCTGTATAGGATCAACTCCAAGTTCTCCTCGGCTCTTAAAGTTCTTCCCTTTTCTGACTCTCCATGACCACCTGAATGAACTCTATTCAGTCCACAGATAGCACCCAGGCATATCCCAGGGGAATGTTTTTGAGACATATCTTTGAGAACCCCTCCAGTTTTCCTCCCTTAAGACCTCTTTCTCTCTTAATTTCCCTTAATTATCTGAAATGCCCTTTGTTATTGAACCCTTGTCAGAAAGATCTTTCCTATTTTTCTCTTCTCTTAACTAGAACAGGCTTATTCAGTGGCCCACTCCTCCAGGGCCCTGGTCTTGGGGCAAGAACTGATCATTTCATCTATGATGAGGACTAATGGATCCCAGGCCAAAAATGCATTTTGAAAGAAGCCCTCTGGTGACCTTAAGGTCTTGATCTGAAGTGATTTAAGGGTCCCTATAAATCTTTCCCTGCCTTTTCTGTCTCCCTCAGCTCAAAGACTTCTCGCCCCACATGCAACACACACACAGTGAGAGAACTCGTTCTCCTGACGCTCTTCTAAGCAACTGCCCTAGTAAAACCCTCAAATGTCATAGGCCCTGAAGACCTAGAAAGAGTGCCCACCACCCCCAAGGGTCCCATCTGTCTCACTTCCACGTTCTATTATGAAAAGTCCTTGCCTCTGGAAAGAGAACTCACAGCCTTCCCTACCCCATGCCCAAACACTCTTCCCTCTCAGGAAATTCTTCCTCAAGCCCTCCCATGACAGCTGTGATGAGTCCCTCTCACTTTCCCAAAGGAGCCCAGGGAGCCTGGATTCTTACCACGGCTGACCTCCAGGCTCACATCAAAGGACAGGCCTCGGCTACTAATGCCCAGACCACACTTGTAGCGCCCAGAGTCATCCCGGGTGAGATGGCCAATGTTCACCACAAATGTGTTGTTCTCTGGGAAGTTGGTGAGGTTGGCTCTGCCCTCATAATCCTTGGACACGTAGCCCTCCGAAGAGATGAGTGTCGTGCAGCGGCCCTTGGCTCCCTGCCGGCACCAGTACTTCCGGGTATGCCGGTTGACGGAGGAGTCTGGGTAGTAGCATGTGATGGATGTTGAGCCACCTTCCACACTGCTCACTTCCTGAGGACCGAATATGGGACTCTTCATGGAGACCACTGTGGGGACAAAAGACAGAGGTTTTCGGAGGCCCTGGCAGGTAAAGCCTGCTGAAAGGATCCCGAGGGCCTCCCCCGAGGAGATGAAATCTTGCGCCTGACACATGTGCCTTCTGTGGATTAGTTGTTATGTACTCTAGCGGGACAATTGCTGCTGGACAATGCTGCATGATTTGCTGCGATTGGGTAAAATGATTGATTAATCATTATTACATCTAACTGTCACTCATTAAAGATCACCACTTTAAGGACAATGGAACGTCAAACTTATTTCATGATATCCTTGTCCATTAAAAAAAAGTCACTTTGTGGGGTGCTACACCATTGCATTTGTTATCTAGCATTTTCTTATATTTCTAAAAACACTTTGTAGATTCTTTTTTTTTTTTTTCCAGATAAAAATATTGAGAGCCAAGAAGGATAAGCCATTTCTTCAAAACCCCATAGCCACTCATAGGGATGTCTGGTTTGAGGTCAAGGTCTTTTTTTTTTTTTTTCCTCCTGGTGAAGACCTTTAGCCAGACTCCTGGCCTTGAAAAGAGGGATTGCCATTCCTGTTCCCGACCCCCAACACTTGGTCACCATGGTTTTTTTTTTTCAGATGTGACCTTTCAGCATCATCTTTGTGACTCCTCCTTGAGGCAGTGCAAGTTTTGAGAGTGGCATCCCTGGGGATAGGCCTGATTTCAGTGTTCCCAGGGAACTGGGTCCTGGAGGGGTGGGCTGGGTCCTGACAGACGCACCTGGAAAGACAGCCAGCAGGCAGGTGAGGAAGAGGAGTCCCATCGCTAGTGGCTCTCGAGGGGCTGTTCCACCCAGGCCAACTTCTTTACAGGAGGCTGAAAGACAATAGAAAGGATAAAGCTTGGTGTTTTCCAAGGCTAGCTGGCCTTAGAGTTCCTGTACCACCTGTTTGGTTTTGTACTTCTAGTAACTAACAAAAAGCCTGTTGAAAGAATGAATGGCTCCACCTTTCCCATTATAGTTCAAATTCCCACTATTCCACAGTGCTTTTTATTCCTTAATAGTTGTAAGTAGATATTTGTCTTCTCAACTAAGCTGCACGTTCCTTGAGGTAAGGACGCAGGTGCCCTTTTTCCTGTGTCCCCATCTGGGCGGCATGGTCTGTAAGATCTCAGGAACAGCTCGCTGGATGATGGGTTATACCAACAAGTGGCCCCATCTCTGTTTCAGCTGCCCTCCCTATATCCCTGGCATACTTTATGGTGTGTTCATATGAACAAACTGAGACCCACAGAGAAGGCCTGATAAGGATTAAAGTTGTAAATGTCACAATGATGGTCTCTTACCATGATCTCCTTCCAGGCACTGTGTTAAATAATGTACATGTATTATTTAAACTTAATATCCCACTCTGAAGTGGTTGTTCTTCCCCACATTTTACATAGGAAGAAACAAAAGCTTAAAGCTAAGTGCTTTCTTAAGGTCATATGGGAATTAAGTGTCTGGGTGGGCAGGGTGAGGTGGGGGAGATGGGCAAGATTGGAACCCAAACTTGGCTGACTCCACAATCCAAGCTCTTTGCCTTCTCCCAGTGCACTGGGTCGCACCTCAAACCCAGCAGCAGGCTTAGCCCTGTGCTCATTCTTGTCACTTATAGAGCCCCCACTGCTTAGCATTGTCATTTATGCTTTACTGGAGCTTTATAACTTCCCTTTAACTAAGACAGAATGGATATAATTACAACCATCTTATGGTTAAGAAAATCAAGATCTTGAGATGCTGCTGAGTGATAGGCCCAAGATTTCCCAGAGACTTGGTTATAGGGTCAGGGTTTAAAATGTAGATATTGTGATGGGGCGCCTGGGTGGCTCAGTCATTAAGCAGCTGCCTTTGGCTCAGGTCATGATCCCAGGGTCCTGGGATTGAGCCCCGCATCAGGCTCCTTGCTCCGTGGGGAGCCTGCTTCTCCCTCTCCCACTCCCCCTGCTTGTGTTCCCTCTCTCACTGTGTCTCTCTCTGTCAAATAAATCAAATCTTTAAAAAATAAAATAAAATAAAATGTAGGTATTGTGACTTATTATCCTGCCTTATGATTCAGGGCAGAGGAAGCTGGAGAATCCAAAATAAGGTCCCTTGGAGGGTCTGCTGCTGGTAAACCTCGTCATGTCTGTGGATGTAGCCTTGGGCTGGAGTGGGGTGGGGGGGTTGAAGTTTGAGGGTCCCAGGGCTCAGCCTTACCACCGCTGTCCTTAGGATCCAAACTGCAGCCCAGAGGATGAAAGAAGTAGACAGAGGAGCCCCACTTTCCCACGAACTTCTGTAGGCTTTAACCTCTGGAGTGGATTTGACAATGAGAGCGTTAAGGGAGAAAACCATGTCAATAAGCACAGGGCAGTAACGAGCACCTATAAAGATAAGGAAGCTCTAAGCACTAGGGAGACCAGAGAAGGATCTCCCAGGCTCCCCTTACCACCTTGGCCCCTGACCCCACTCCCAGAGACTCCCTTCATTAGCTTGAGCCAAAGGCAATAGAGCTGTTTATCTTGGTTATTTCTTTTCCGGGGGGGAATTCCCCAGCAAGGAACCTTTTCATTTCCTTGTGCAGATAAAGGTATTCTGTTTCTCCAGTTCTTTGGAAGAGTAAGGGAAGTGGGTTTGGAAAGGGGAGGACAGGTATGGGTGTCAGGTGGCAGCTTGAGGTTCTCTTGATTCCAGTTAATTGCCCCAGACCTTTCAAACCAGCCCAATGGTTAACTTCTGGGGTAGGTTCTTAGCCAAATGCCAACGTCAGCCCCAAACTGGATGCAGTCAGGAGATGCTGGCTAGAGGAACCACCTGAGTGGTTGCTATGGGTCACCATGAGAGAGACTTCCAGGTGGGACTAGGTGTCAGAAGGCTGGGAAGTCTGTCTCCTCTGGAAGACTTGGGATGGGCTGGCTGCAGAGTCCCAAGGAAATTATCCTGGGCAAATTGGGCCTTGGGGGCAGGGACAAAATGCCACATGCTTTTAAGAGCCAAGCCAGCAGTTCTGGTTCCTATTCTCACCTTTAGATAAGCAAGTTCCCTAATATTTCTGTGAGACAGGAATGGGTACCTCCTCGGGACTGATAAAAGTGATTTGCTCTGGGTTACAGAGAGGCAGATGCCTGCTTTTCCCAAGTGGGGGTCCCAACTTCTGGCTCAGGCTTCCTCTCATTTGTGACATGCTTACATGGCTGTGAGTGCTTACCTGGGGAGAGGACACGCACATGGACCTGTTAGCCTTGGCACAGCCAGGGGCCAGGGATGAGAGCATCAGGTGTGCACAGCTGGAAGGGCAAACCTGGCAGGGCGTGACCTTGGTGAGGAGCACAGAGTCTAATCACAAGGGAGATGGTGGGAGGGCAAGAGCACCCCCACTCTCAGAAGCAGGAAATCTTCTTTGTCCAAAGCTAAACTTGAAGCACAATTTCTCTGCTAGCAGCTGAAAGGACCCCGGGCTTTGAAAATCAATAGAGATCTTTCCTCTCAAAACCAGACTTTTCTCCCAAACTTGGGAAATTCAGGTCTCAGGGAGGCCCCAGTCCATGGTGGTTGGAGCTGGTTTAAACAATTTGCTTAAGGAAAGAGCATAATATTTATTGGGCACCTACTAGGGCACCAGATGCTTTGCTAAATGCTTTTCTTACATGACTTCATCCATCATCACAGCAACCCGGAGAGGTAGATATAATTACCTTCATGTTGTAGATGAGAGAGCTAAAGGTTAGAGAAATTCTTGGCCCCAAGAATCCACAGCAGAATCAGACCACTGCCTTATTATCACTCCTTAGTTGAGCAGAGGGACCTGTTTTTTTGGAATCTACATAGGCTAAGATGACATGCATGAAGTCACTTTTTCTTGTCCTTAAAACAGGACTTGTTCTTCTTCCCAGCTAGGCTGGGATATTTTAAATCACTCTCATGTTACCAAGTTACTATCTCTGACACATTTATAACATGTCCACACAATTGTGGGTTGGGGCAGGTTTAGGTTGTGCTGGAGAATAGAGTTTATCACCTTATAAAGTTAACCTACCTATCTCTCCTTCGGTTAGAGTGACTGAACTTCAGCTCTACTAGGTTGGAATCCAAACCTTTGTCCATCGAATCTATAGTTTCCTTTTTTATTCAGAGGGAGAGGGATCTCCTGGACCAAGTCCTAGCATGGCTGCTGGTGAACCATGGCCTTTAGCCACTCTGAGCTCGTCATCTGTTTGGTACCCAGCAGAGGGTCGGTCAGGGCCTCACAGCCCCAGGGGCTTCAGAGAGGACAGAGAGCACGCACTACAGGGACTTGAAGCCAAGTTGGCAGTTTCTGACATCTTCCTGTGAGTGTGAACTTGGAGGAGAAAGAAATTTGGAGCTCAGAAGAGTAGGGAGCAGCTCGCCTGGCTGGGGTCGGGGCTATCTCCTGAGAGAAAGAGACACTGCCTGAGTCCATCTGGGACTATCCCTTCTATCTCCCTTGGGTGCAGGAGCAGAGCACATACCAGAGTGATCCCGGAAATTGCATTATCACTAAGGGAGGGAGAGCAGTCTGGGTGGTTTGGAAGGACCTCAGACTTGAAATGACAAGTGGGAGCTTAGGAGAGTTTATGTAGTTTATGTAAGTCCTGGAGTGTGGGAGAGTCTCCAAGTAAAGGCAATGTTGGGGGAAGGGAATAAGAATTCTAGAGGGCAAGAAGATGGAGAAAGAACAGTCAAGGGGTCTGAAGAATGTATGACCTAAAAAGATCCAAGACTTTCTAATCCTATCCCTGTCAAAAATGGTCTGCATTAATGCAAAATTTAAGCAGAAACTACGCATTTGAAAAACCAGCTCCATGAAACTCTGGGAATAAGCTTCGTGGATTTCCAGATGACCTTTCTGCAAAAACTTAGAACCTTGTTATTGATTCCATCACATTCTACCTTGATATGTAGATACTTATTTCATCCACTTAGCCAAATGGCTCGCTCCTGGAAGGCAGAGGCCAACGGAGATCGGTCTCTACAACCCAGAGGGGCTTGCATGAGAGCATCTGGCAAGGACCAGATGCTCAGCAAAGTCAAGTGGGATTGGAAATGGTTCCATCTCTATCCCCTCTCTGGGAAGGGCAAAGTCAGGGCTGATTCCTTTCACTTTGCCAAATGCCTTCTCGGTTTTGGGCATGCCAGGGGGCAGTTGCATGAAGAGGAACCCAGAGGATGGAAGAGAAGCCAGAGGTCCTGAGTCCTTCTCTGTTACAGGCTAGCGGAAGAGCTGTATCACTTGGGCAAAATACATTGGCTCAACAACTTCATCTGTAAAATGAGCATCATAGTCCCTGAGTCTTCTAGAGAGAAGGGCTTCTGTGGGATGGGGAATATGGAGGGGATACTGGGATATGCGCATGGAAGTACTTAAATAGTATAAAGAGCCCTTCCCAATGTAGAAGGTTACAATCATTAAGCACAAGGGAGTGGGGGTTTGTGCACTTGACTTTCATGGTTGCTGTGCACTTGGAGAGTGGCACAGAGTATGGGCTCCACCGCTTGGTTATCAGGTCTCTCACTTGGGGGCTGTGTGATTTGGGAGCAGGATATTTAAACTCTTCGAGCCTCAAGTCGTCATTTGTAAACTAGAGACAATTATACCTAGTATAGAAAATCGCTATAAAGGATTAAATGAAACAACATATGTAAAGTCCTTTGGATGTTGTCAGCTTAAAAAATGTTAGTTCCTTTCCCATCTCCTCTCTAAAATGAGCACAGTCTTCTCTTTTTTCCTGTCCTATAGTGAGAGGAGAATAGAAGTCTGTTCACTGGGCATCCTTTGAGGACTGGGAGTGAGCTACTCAGATTAGACCAGCATGGTCTGGAAGAGGAGAGTAGGTTGGAAGTGGGAGATATAATTATAGCTAGCACATATGGAGTTATTTTCAAGTGCTTTGCATGTGTTTACCTCACTTAATCTTTGCAGCCACCCTAGGAGAGAATAAAATGGGCAAACTCATTTCACCGATGAGACAATTGAGGCACAGAGGAGTAAGAAATCTGCCCAGGGTTACAAAGCTGGTAAGTGACTGCCATGGGATTCAAATTCAGGTACTCTGGACCAAGAGCAGAGGCTATGCTGTACTAGGTGGGTCTTGAAATTGAGAGGAAGAAGTCAGTAGAGGAGGGAGCAGGAAAGCCACTCTTAGAGAAGTTACTCCAATTTCCTCCTCTTCACTTTTCACAGGAAAGATAGTTCCTGTAAAGAGACACCTGAACCCAGAGGTAGGCGCCAACAGAGAAATTTCTTCCTGAAAAAAAAAAATAATAGCTGCTATTTATGTAGCCCATACCATGTGTAAGGGATGTTATGTTTGATTCCTGTAACTGGACACATTGCCTCCAAAGCTTCTTTCTACATGGTCAATGCCAGGGACTTTGGGATCCCCGCCGCAGTCCACCCAGAGAGAGGGCAAGACACAGTTGAGGAGGGCCCCTGCTGAGCACATGCGTGGATAACATTACTTTTTTTTAAGTTGGGTAGTTTGTTTTTTTAGGCGATGTCAAAAGGTCCCCCATGACCCTGTCAAAATGGATGTACCAAAATGTCATTGTTCACACTTGCTGGGTGACTTTATACCACTCACAGGAACTCATGGAGGATTCGTTTCCTCACCTATAGATGGGATTATGATACCCTCCTTGCCTACTTCCTAGATTTAGTTCAGGCAGGAATGAGATGATGCTGTGAAAGCCCGGGGGAAGTGAATTCACGACACGGAATTTGCTGTCTTCACACTATTGATAAAATAAAGCCACAGAGGTTCTAGAGGCGCTAAGAGACAGCTAATGAGTAGAGAGCTAGTGGCTCTCCTGACTTCTGCTTCCCTGTTCTTTCTGCTACATCACCACATCCAGGGCCAAGGAAAAGTACGGATGGATGAAGACTTCCAGAGCTGGCTCTGGGTGGGCAGATAACTGCCTTCTACCCTAACCCATGAACGGGCGCATCCCCGCCCCAGATGTTCAGGAACCTGTAATCCCCCTAGTGAAGGGGGAGAGCAGCGGTGGAGGCTTTGGTGCGAAGCCACCAGCAGGTTGGCTGGCCCCAGGCCTGGGACAGTTGGCGCAAGCGGAGCTGGGGGCCCGGGAATGGAGCTTGTGCAGCCGCTGCGCTTATGGACGAGGGTCTTGTGGCTGGCTAGCGATGCTGTCAGGATGGGCAAGGGGAGAGCGTGGAGGGAAGGGGGCCTCCTGGCTGCAGAGCTGGGGGGAGCATCAGGACTCGGAATGCTGTCTGAGCCTGGGAGGGGGCTCTGCCCACCTTACTCACCCCAGGAGGACCTCGTTTTCCCCACCTTAGTGAGGGCAGGGTGTTAAGATGATACATATTATGCCTCCGCATGGCAGGAATCAACTGGATCAAAACTAAGTTCAAACAGGAAAGGATCCCAGAGCCTCTCTGAAGCCTTGTAAAGGGGCTGTAGGTGCCCTCACCAGAAGGCCGGAGGTGGAAAGCTTCCAAGACTAGAGGACTTGCTGTGCATTATCTTACCCAGGTCTGTCTGGTATTCAGTTAAGTCCTTGAGTAACTGAACGAAATGGAGAAACACCACACAATCTTTATGTTGCTCTGGAGGTTACAAAGCAACTTCACACATATTTTCTCATTTGAACCCCACATACCTGAGTGATAGGTATTATTGGGATCCCCATTATACAGATTAAGAAACGGAGGCTCAGAGAGCCATGAGGTGACTTGCCTAAGGTCACACAGTTAAACTATGGAGGAGTCAGTCGGGAATTCAGGGGACGAACTTAGAGAAAAAGTACATATGCTGACCAGAGACGTTCCTTCTTCCCACCGGCTGATATTTCACAGAAAAGGGGTGGGGGTTTCCACACACACGTGCGCCCTTGCTCATCTCTCTGGGCCATGGACCTCTGCTCCCCGACCACATGCTCAGCCACTCAGGCTGTGGCCCTTGTCCTCCTCACCCCACCGTCTGCAGGCTGGAAGCTGTGAATGTAGAAGTTTGCCTGAGCCACCATCCCAGGCCCTTCCCAGACGGCATCCCGTTGTAGATCCCAGAGCAGTCGCACTTACTTTAAGCCACTTTCTTCTGTCCCGGCAACTCAGATTCGGGGCCACAGCCTGCTGGCCGGTCCACAGCCTGGGGCTCTCCAAAAGTTGTCAGCAGGACACTGGATGGTGCTGCCCAAACTGAAACTGTGTGCAGTGCTTGACCCACACCTGGGCTCTTAAAGGGACACTGTCCCGTAGGCCTGGCGGCCAGCCAGGGGCACGTGACTCTCACAGATCCCCTGCCTTCCTTTCCTTCCAGCTTTTCTGACTGGTTCCATTTGCTCCCCTTGACCTTGGGGAGACTGTTACCAGGGAACCCTCCATCATTACAGCAGCAGGATGAGACACAGAGTACAAGCAGGAAGAGCCAACTCTGCCTTTTTCTAGCTGCAAGATCCTAGGCAAGTCATCTTTATATTTCTTTTCATCTGACAAATAGGGCTAGTAATCCCAAACCTGCGGGTTGAGGGTATAGCAGATATTAGACGTAAAACCCTGGTCCAGGTATGGTATGAGGTTCATACGCATTTGATGGAGCACAGGTGGCAGGAGCGGCTCAGTCCTTGGCCTCATCTCCCCACTCTCTCAGGAACCCCCCACTTTCTAGGATACTTAGCCTGGATGAAGTCCGCTCTTCACACATCTTCTGAAGAGTCCCCTTATACCAGCCCCAGTGCTTCCAGGAACTTGGGGGACCGTGGCTCATCCAAGTTTACTCTCTACAGGGATTAAAGACGGGCTGCTTCTGGGCTCCCCAGAAAATGGCGGACCTCAGAGCCACGTTGGGACCCAGGCTCTGCGCCATAGCAAAGTCGGTGCTTATCTGCCGAGCTGGGTGGGGAACCTCCTTCCCTACCTCAGTTCATCCTTGGTGGTCTCCCGGAGATGATCCGGTTAAGACTCCCAAAGGTGCCCCAAATGATCTTAGTAGTCCCGTGTCACACAAGTGAAGCCCACTCCCCAACACACACTCATATGTCCCCCTACCCCTCAACACACACCCCTCCCACAGAATCCTGCCCCATCCTACCTGTGCAGGACTGACCCAGGCTCTCCCTACAGCATCCTGCCGGCCAAGTCCAGAAGGGGAAGGAGGAAAGGAGAAATGGAATCCCAGAAAACGCAAGGCAGTCAAAGCCCCGAGTCTTATTTTAGCTCACCACTCACTCAGGAGTGGATATCAGCCTGCAACTATTGGTTTGGATGGCAAGAAAAGAAATTGTATTTTCTAGCACGGAACTTAATTTCAGACCCTAAATGCACAATCTGACTAATACTAGAAAATAAAATTACCTAATCTCTTCCGGGCAAGCTCGGTACAATTCAACGAGCTCTCCGTCACTTCACTCCTGATTTAAAACTCAGTCTCATTTGGGACTTACCTTCCTTTTTGTCTCCCTTCTCTCCTCTGGGTTTAGTTAAGTCTGGGGGAAGTGGGGCATGGACAAGGGGGTGGCTTATGTCAACGTTACTGTCGAGGCAGTAAGAAGGAATGCCCTATTTTTTTGACCTTGCTTTGTCGTGGTTCTATGTTGGCTTCATCCTGGGGCAAGAAATAGCCTTGTCTTCGGAGATGTGACTTGTCCTGCTGGTCAGTGGCCCTTGTCTCTGCTCATCTGGAGACTATCTATGGTCCACTCTATGTTCTCCTTGTCCCTACTTCTGGGCTCCTTCAGGTAGGACTTTTGCAATCTATTAGCCCTTCATTGCCTTTCTTATGGAGGCAGGGTAAGTCGGGCTCGTCGGCATCCTCCCGATGTCTTTGGGAAGCCTGTGCAGCAGACCCTCATTCTTTCCTAACGCCCCTTGTAGCCTTCTGGGGGCCCCATCATTCCTGTGTTACTGGAGTTGCAGTGAATGTCAACAAGACTGTGAACCACCGAAGGGCTGTACAGGACAAGCAAAGTGCAGTCGCCCCTGGCTCTGGCACCCCCAAACCGCTCTGGACAGCTCCATCATTGTCCACCTCCTCTCCCCACCTCTAACCCTAGAATAAGCCCCACTGTGGTGAGTGGGAGGGCACACAGGTGCATCAATAGCTAAGCAGTCTTTCTCCTGCCCGGGTTCAGGGTGGCTATCCGTGGGAGGTGGAGATGGTGTGGGGACAGGGATAGGACAAGCCTGGTTCTGCCAGGTTACAGCTCCTTTCAAAGGTTTTCCTTCTTATGTTTCTCTCCTTTCAAACACAATCGTCAGATATCTGTAGGTTTTGTTCTCTTGTTTCGCGTTAACTTGTTTTCCCCATGGCAGGGGATAACTTGGATCCAGTTGTCTGGGCTGGAGTAGGGGTTAAGGGAGGCCGACTGAATACTAGGACAGAAACTTGATAAATGTTTGCAGGGAGGGAGGGAAGCACATCCATGAAATGGTTGCTTCTCAGGCTGCCTCAGGGGCCCGAGATCTCCCACTCCATTTCCTTATTCTGCACTGGGGAGAATTTCCTAGATTCCGTCCTGGTGTGTGCTCCCAGGAGTCCCCAAAACTATCTTAGCAGACACGCACATATGCACAGCCCACCGGGCCTACTGATCCAGCTTAGGGGAAAGGGAAAACAAGAAGTAGAATGTAGGGAAGAGTCGGGAAGTCAAAACCCTGCATCTTATTTTGGGCTCAGCCACATGTTAGTGGTGAGATTAGAGCCACCCAACTTCCCCTCTCTCACTGTGGCTTCCCCATCAGGAGCTCAGTGGCCCTAAGGCATAGCTCCTGCCTCCCTGTCCTGAGTGGGGAGGGACTGGCCAAGAGGGTCCAACTGCCCAACTCAGCAATAATCATACCTTCTGAAACTTACGTCCCATCCTGTGCTTCCAAGTTCCCCCCTCCCTCTTGAAATAATAACATGAGAAGAATATACTAATAATAAGAACTAGGGCTTCTCATTTGACTTTCATGACCCTGGGACTCAACATGAGCACCAGTCTGGGCTCGGGACACGTGCCCTGGTCCTGGCTCTGTCTCAAACTTGCTGAGTGACCTTTGCCAAATCGATTCCTCCTTTAGGGCTGCGATTGTTTCTTCTGTTAAATGAGAGGCCTGGGCCACGCGGTCTCCAAGGCTTTTCCAGTCCTAGGATTCTGTGTTTTGAGCGAGTGCTGCGTTTGATTCCTATGGCTGATGTAACACATTGCTGTAATTTTGCTGGCTTGGAACAACAGAAATGTGTTCTCAGTTCTGGAGGCCAAGAAGTGGGCAGAGCCGTGCTCCCGCTGGAGGCTCTAGGGGGGAATCTGTTCGTCACCTCTCCTGGCTTCCAGCCGCCGCTGGATCCCTGGGCCTTCTTCGGCTTGTGGCTGTATCATGCCTGTCTTGTCCCTGTGCTCATAGTGCCTTCTGTGTGTGCCTCACATGTTTCTCTGCTCTCTCTTACAAAGACATTTGTGATGGCATTTAGGGTCCATTCGAGTAATCCAGGATGATGTCTTCATCTCAAGCGCCTGGACGGAGTCACATCTGCAAAGACCCTTCTCCCAAATAAGGCAACATTTGCAGATTCCAGGGATCAGGAGGTGAACGTGTCTTTGGGGCGGGGACGCCACTTTGTAGCCTATTGCAAGCATCTACTATGCCCATGATCAGTTTGAATGAGGTCCAGGGAGATTCCACATATCAGCAGTGTGCCTCCATGTTCCCCAAGGGCATCTGGTCTAACTGAGGAGCCATCACCCCACACTCCACTGCCAAGGAGCAACCCCAGCTGGGTGGTGGCCAGTGTGGTGAGGCAGCGCAGTCTTGGCGAAGGCTCACAGGCTCCAGACCGAGAATGCCCGGGTTCACCTGCTGGCCCAGGGGACCCTTGACAAGTTTCTTAGGGTCTCTGAACCTCAGTGTTCTCATTTATAAAATGGGGCTGATTATACTTACCCTGTGTGTTTGTTACAAATATTAAGTATAATATGTGCAGTGGCTGGTATCTTACAGGTGCTTATGATTCAGCTTCAAATGAATGGGACAGCACAGGCTTTCAGAACAAAGAGTGATTCCCACTGATCGATGAGGAACCAAAGGCAGAGAAGTGGAATAACTTGCCCAAGTTCACACAATGAGGTTGATGGCAGAGGTGGGTCGAGAACCAAGGTCTCCCAGCATTAGGAAGTTTCTTCCACTTCCCAAAGCCCTCACCCTTCAGATGAATCTTTTGAATGGTGTTTCCATGGGCAGCAACAGACTTCAATTTGCACCTTCAACTGATTCAGGGAAGACGGGAGAGGACCAAACATACAGGCCTATGCAGGTCCGACCCTACAGGCTGGCATTGTCAGGTGGATGCTCGAAGACCGTGGGTTGACCCAGCCACCCATAGAGAAGGGGAGGCCTGAGCTGGAGGGCCCTTCCCCAGACCGCCCCTGCCCTTCTGACATTCTGGCATCCCTCCCTGCAGATGGTGCTTATAAGTGCGGCCTTTGCCAGCCGAGGGAAATAAGAGCGGACAGATGAAACAGCTTATTGCTGCTGTTTACTGCCAGTTCTCGGCTCCCATGTGCAGATCTTTGGCTGAGTCAATGTTTAACCCCATGTAGAGTCAATGTTTAATCCAAGGCCAGCCAGCCCCAAAATCCAGCATTCCTCAGCAAACCAATCATACGGTCATGTCAGTGTCAATCACTGGAAAATAGAATTGTGACTGTGAATCTACCGAAGCTAAATATCAAGCCCCCTCCCCACCCCCTTTTAAGGATATTGATTATGTGGGATTATCACGTCCAAGCAGCCCTACCCTCGTCATCAGTAGGTAATATTCTAGTAATTCCTGCCCCTAGCTGTCTTCCACTGGAAGGAACACAGCATGTGCTCTCTCCATCCTGGGCTGGAGAGAAGCCATGGGATGGGGACTACTGCCGTTGGTGCCCAGCTGAGTGCTGCGGGCTGGAAGGCAGTCCCTCGTGGGGCCGCTGCCTGGAATCCCCCCATGAAAGTGGGCCCTGCAATAGTCTAGTTGGCTGAGCTCAGGGAGGCTTTTGGGGAGCTGCTGAGCCCAGAGATATGTTTGGAGGCCTGAGCCTTTTCCCAGGTGAGCCTCCCTGTTAGGGAGTAGGTGGGGCGGGGGGGAATTAGTTATAAATACTCTGCATTTGCCTGCCTCCCAGGCCCTTCTTAAGGAGCTCGGAGCCTGACATCTGGGACTGGGACTGGCATCACATC